AATTCTCAATTATTGATGCAGTTGTTCCAGAGACTGTCCAGATTCTCATGCCTGTCATTGTCACCTCTTGGATATTTTCTCAGCCCCACAGCTTCAAGTACAGAGGTGTGGCTCCTCCCTTGAGCAGCTGCCCACCTCACTAAAAAAAGACTTGACTTCCCCCAGATCCAAAAGCAACCCCCCAGAACCCTCTCAGCCCTGCTCTCTGGGGTCCGTGGACTGGAATATTGGCCCTTTTGTATGTGTTCTGGGAGAGCAACCAAGGAACCTGCTATTGTTGGTGGAAGGGAGGGGACCAAGAGAAGGTTCAAGAATCCATGGCAAAACCTCAAGTTCTCATTCCCTTTAAGAAAAAGAGAAGATGACAAGCAAGAAGGAGTGTTTGGGAAAGATGACCCAGGCATGCAGTGGGTTAACACTTTAATCACAGGTCCAAAGGGTTGTGTCACCTAATAAGTCTTTGTTCACGTGCGTGTGCTGAAATGCCTGCCTCTGAGCTGCCCTCTGGCAAACTCCGGAGCACTCTCCTAGCTACCCTCCTGAAGCTCTGGGAAGGACAGTCTGCCTGCCCACTGATTGTTCCAGCCCCTGTTCCAGCAGGACCTCCAGGCCTTCGAAGCTGCAGGTACCAGCCAAGTGCCTCCGTTTCTGTAGGTGGTAACTAGCTAGATGCCGTTGGGTGTGCTGAGCCAGGCCTAGGCAATGGACTCTTCCAGAAAGGCTTTTCTGCCTTTTTAACCATCCTTGTCCTTAACATTCTTTCTTGGTCAGGGAGACTTTACAACTGGTAGGCTCCTCCTTATTTGGGACTGGGGGTGGAATCCAACTGTAAGGTGCCCTCTCTGGGTCAGCCCTTAGCTATTGTGTTGGGAGCAAAATTTTAAAGGCGGAGAAAGGTTGACTTCCACACCTCCAACCTCCTCCTCCCCTGATGATTCTTCTTTCCTTGTATGGCTACTCGGATGCTATTATTGCTGCTGTCTGAGCTGGTTTCTGGGCAATATTATGAGTATTAGTCACTTGCATCATAGCGTAAATATGTTTACATGAGTCAGTCAGCATCTTTGTATCTTAAGTTGACTAAATTGCTGTTGCTATTGTTTAAGGCATTTAGGGCATCTGGGCAGGTATAGAAAACACTTGGAGGTCAGAGAAGGTCCTTTACCTCTAAAATGATATCTAGGTCACTTTAGTTAGGAACTCATACACTAGTACCAAGTGAAAAATAAGAATTTTTAAAAATGCATTGAGTCCCTTTTCCTCTTTATCAGAAAATTGGATGTTTTCAGACATTTTGGATAGGCTTAAACATAATTTTGAGTTGTTGGCAAGGAAATTCAATGCTTCCAAAGATTTTATAAAACTCATTTCTCTGATACTTGAAAGAGCCTGTCAGAGACAGCAATGAAGGTTTTTACATGTTGTGCAACGAGGACTGTGGGTTTATGAGGTGATCGGCACACTGGGGGGCCTGTGAGGTATGTGAGTCCTGGAGTCCTTACCCCAGTGCTGAGGCAGCCATGGTAGTGTGTACAGAGCTTTGAGTGTCTCCTGAGTTGGGAGAGCCATTTGCTAATGGGTTGTAGATGTCAGGATCAGGCTGGTTCATGCCAGGAGTCTGTGATTCCCTCAATGAAAGGGCAAGCTTATCTAGAGACACAAGGAAGTTGGCCATGTTTGGAGAGAGATGGTGCCCATTCTGTGCCTTTTGTTGGTTAGTAATGACCTCAGACCGAGATGGAGGATCTAGCAGGGGAAGATGCTGAGTTCATGAAAATAGCATCCCCATGGTGACCATGTTGTCTATGGAAGCTCTGATTTACTTCCTGAATCCCTGTGAGGTGATGACCCAGAGCCAGAGTGGGGAAGCCCACTGCACCCCACAGGCCTGGCAGGCAGTTTGTTAGGGCGCATTACGCTGGTGGTGACACAGCCACTTTGGAAAATCAGCTTGTGTAATCAGTGGCTGGGAACAGCTCACCCCACGACCTGGGAACTTGACACCAGCCAAGAGCACACTCCCAAGGTCAGACAGGAAGGTCTCCTGCCTTGGGCTGACACAAGGGCAGTGTCACTGAAGCACCAAGTCTTAAAGGAGCGTGTTGCCATCTGTGTTCAGGCTCATGATACCAAGATACTGGTTTTGGTTTGCAGACATTGTTTCCCTCTTGCCAGACTCCAGTTAGGGCTGGTTTCCAGAAAATCCAGCTGGTTGTGTGGTTCCTCCATTGTCCTGGGCGCAGCCTGGATGAGCTACTCGGGATCTGTTGTTACTATCACCTCCTTCCCAAGCTCCGCCCTCTCCACGGACATGGTCAGAAGTGTACACACAGACCCAGTGGGCTGCATTTAAAGACTCACAGGGTATCACTCCAGTTGTCTTCCTCCAGGATTATTTCTCTCAGAGACTGCAAGCTCCTCTGTGTTGGCAGCAGCCAAATAAGAGGAATGCAGATAGAGAAACAGTCTTTACTCTTGTATGCCTTTCCTTTCCTTCTTGGCTCTCTCCAGTGACCGCCTGTTCACTTTTTAGGCCTGGCCATCACAGAGTGTCTACCACTACTCCCTTCCCCAAGCTGAATTAAATTTTCCCTTTCTCAGATCCCATTGCATTTTTTTTTTTTTTTACAAATTCATCAAAATGCTGCTTTTTTGTGAGATATAATTTACAGTTATATGAGTTGTGACAAATATATGCTTGTCAAATACATATAGCCATGTAACCATCACCGTAATCAAGGCACTCAACAGAATTGCCCCCCATATTTTCCTGTGCTCCTTTGTAGCCAGACCCTCCCTTCTCCCCTAGACCCTGGCAGCTGCTGATGTGATTTCTCTCCTAATGATTTACCTTTGCCAGAATAGCATATAAATGGGATTGTACACTTGTAGTGGTTTCAGAGGCTTCTTTGACTCAGCACAGGGCATTTCAGATTCCTCCATGTTTTGTATACCCATAATTCATATCTTCTCAGTACTGAGTACCCATGCCTTTTTATCCATATCTCTATGTGGGCCTCTTCCACTGTATCTGGATATGTGATATTCTTCCATCTGTCTCCTTCATGGGTAGCCAGGCTCCTCCAGGGATGGACTGTGTCTTGTGTGCCTCTGTATCCCCAGCCTGCATATAGTAGGCACTTGATGGAATGTGCTGGGGCAGCTGTGTGTTGATAGTGGACATCCTTATCCTCTCTGGCTCTCTCTAGGGCGCTGGCTGGTCCCTGCTCAGGCCGTGTGTTCAGCTGGTGACCTGGAGAGACACCCAGGGATGGGCAGGTAGGCTTCTCATAAAGCACTCCCATCCTCAGGTTGGTGTCCCTGATGGATGGGTGCCAACACTTGTTGGGAGGTTTGGGGGGTTCTCTGTGGCTGCCCTGAAGCTCTTCTCTCTGGGGCTCATGAATTCCTGGGACTGTGGTACAGGCATATGTCTGTTTCCTTCCTCCTAAGCCAGAGAAGTCCTCTTTGGGCCTTGTTTGCACTGAGTCATAGCTACATTGGCTAGTTAGTTAAAAATAGGCTCCAGTTATCTCCGCCCTGTGATAGGCCCTTCTCTCCTTGGGCAGAGGCAGGAATCCTTATGTAAATATTTGGAGGAGCTTGTGGCTGGGGTGATTTCCATGCCGGGGTCTGCTTGCCTGGACTCCTGGAGCCATGAGGGCAAGGTGGCAGTGGGAGAGTGAGAGGTGGCATGTGTTAGAACACTCAGAGTATTCACACTGCTTGGGAGACACTGGAGTTCATGGTGGTACCTCGAGCCGGTGGAAGTGGTTGGTCATTTGCTGTAGTGACAATGGCTCAGTCTTAAAAAGTCAGTAGGACTTATTGGAAAAACCACCTGGTTTGAAATCAGACTGACCAGAGTTCAAACCTGTGATTCCTCGCCTCACTGGCCCATGGCCTTAAACAAGTTACATGACTCCTCTGAGCATCATTTTCTCCTTTGTAAACAGGGATGATGTTATCTGCGCCACCAGGGTGATTGTGAGAATTAAAAGTGATCTTGTGTGTAAAGCCCGTAACAGAGCCCTGCACGCAATAGACCCTCATTTAGTGCTGGCTGCCGCCACAGCCAACTCTAGCCTTGCTATCTACTTTGCCAGGAAGCATTACAACTTTGCACTGGATATCTGAGGGAAGAATGAGAGGTTCTTAAAGGACGTAGGAATCTCCGGATGCATGTCCAGACCTCTTTCCCGTGTGCTCACATCTCTTTAACTTCTGTTGGCCTTCAGCCCTACGGTTAAATCACTTCAACAGCTGCCCAAGTAGGGCTGATAACTCAGGACTCACTAGCTGGGAGAGGACTGGAACCAAACTTAAAAATAGGGACACATCCATTGCCTGGTACAGGGGCTAGCAGGCCTCTGGAGAGAAGGCCAGGCAGCATCTGCACACCCAGGCTGAGTTGGACTCTGGGCAGCTGGAGGCTGCAAGCCTCCCAACGAAGGGGACCTTGCCAGGCAAGCCCAGCTTTCCTTGGTCCAGAAGTTCTGAGGGTATGTGTCCTTATCCTCTCCCCCACTAGCACTAACTGGCTAGAGACTGACCGTTCTTCAGAGAAAGAAAGGCTAGAGAGTGTGTGGGGAAGATGGGGATCCTTAGGCTTAGCAGAGCTGTCTGAAGCTGGGCTGCACTGGTTCCGTGTAGCCTTTGGTATAAGGAGGTGGAGAGAGCCACTGGGTGGCTTTTTAAAGGAAAGTAAGGCGGTCCTATCTACGGTGAATGGACAGTGAGCTCAGAAAGAATAGGCTGCAATATGATTGATCTAATTTCTTGTTAAGCCCCAAATCAGGTCACTGTGTCTGAATATAAGTGTGTCAGAAACAAACCAGAGAGTGCCCACAGAGCAAGGCCCACACAGAAAGGTCAAGCCCTCCTCTTGAGGGAATACACCCAGATAGGGGGACCTTTCTGCCCAGAGCAGAGTTCTCTAATATTGTCGTTAAATTGTGTCTGTGTCTGCTTCCTCCATGGCCTCCTCTTCCTCTGTGCAGGTGCCACCATGGAGTCTGACCAGTGCTAAGCAGACAGCCACGGAGGGCCGAAGTTCTGAGCCTTCCTCCTTCCTTCTCCGGACCCAAGCAGGAGACACACAGACAAGAAAGGCAAACTCACCATGGCCTCCACCAATGCAGAGAGCCAGCTCCAGAGAATCATCCGAGACTTGCAAGGTATGGTAGGTTGCTGGGCAGACTGAGTTTGGTTTTGAGGGACTTGTGGCAGGGCTTTTTGCTATTGCCAGTTGAAATTCAACCCTTTCATTTTTGTTCACACCACGAGTAATTGGAGTCCTCAGGTCACATCACATTGAAATATTTGGGGCTCAAATATCCGCCTTGTGTAAGGCTTGGAAAGTTTGCCTGGTTTCCTTTCAGAGGACTGTAAAGCCAGTTTGTAAACAAAATCATACACCCTGCTCCAGGACTGGGTCTGATTTCCATTAGCGCACATATGTGTGTTTTCAAGCTGCCTGTTAAGTCTTTGGCTAAATCCCAAATTTCTGAGCGCTGATGAAGTTGGCTCCTTTGGGAAAGAATGTTCTTTCTCCCACTGAGCAGGAAGGACAGAGACCCACCTGTCTTGTTTTACTGCCCCACCGGGTCCTGGCTGGTGGACGGCCCATTGCTTGGGATGCACTGTAGGTCCAGGCCTGCTGCCTCCCAGACTTCCCTGAGCTCAGCATTGTCCACTGAGAGAGGCTGTGACTTGTATCCCTTATCTCACTGGAGAAAAGCAAGGCAGAGGAAGGTGCAGATAAAGCTTCATAGACTCAGGAGAAACGGACTATTTTCTTTTTGGCTGCAAATTCCAAGTTTCACTCTTTCAGATGCTGTCCCAGGGGTCAGAATTTTTATGTTTTCCGTCCCCACTCATCACCAGTGCTCATCTTTAAGCAATGTGGAGCTCCAGGACGCTTGATACTACACAGTCTGAAGCTGACCACTTCCTCCATGCCTGCAGAGTCTGCTGTGACACTTTCCTGATAGACTAAAAGCCCAGGCTCCTAACCGCTTGGACACCACCAGCAGTTATCTCCCATGCTAGGAGCCATTGGCCTAGCCCGTCCACAATGCAGCTCTCATTCTGAAGTTCTAAAGTCAGCAAGATGAAAAACACTTTCTCAAACTTTTAATCTTGTGTCTACTGTGTCTTGTGCCTCTGATAGCTAAGAATTACATGGCATTTTGTGTGCACCAGGCTCTTTCTATACCAACAGCCTGGCACCAGTCTATGCTCCTAACCACTCTAGTCTACTTTCAGCTAAGACATTAGATGCTTTTTTGAATCTACGCAGAGAGACAGAGAAAGTAAAATGCCAGTCTCTGCAAATCTGAGTTTGCCGGTAGCTTTAAGAGGTCTCTCCATAAAGTAGGCAGTCTTTTCTGTGTTTCAACATCTGGTTCTTGAGGATAACTTTGAGACCTAGAGGTCCTTATTGGGAGGGAAGAGGGTGAAATAGGGGACCTCAGGTAAAGCTTCTGATCTAGACCATTGCCTGTCCCATGTACCAGCTGAGTCTGGCCACCCGCAATATCCTGGGTTGGTTTCAACATCCTTTACACAGGCCACAGAGCACTTTAATGGGAATTCTTGAAAGATGCCACTTTCTCCGTACTCTCCACTTTGATCTGTTGGTAAATGTCTTAATAAGCGTACAAATCTACAGCGTCTACCATGAGAGTGGAGTGTCCTTAACTGAGGCGTCTTTGTGTGGTACACAGCCTTCACTCCTCTGCAGGGCAGCCCACTTACCCTCTTGGTGACAGCAATTTCAAGGACTTTGGAGTCAGGCAGGGGTGTGCTCAGCTTCTGGCTTCTCTTTTAACTCTGGAAAATGTTGGACAAGTCCGTTCACCTTTCCAACACACCGTTGCTTCCTTCATGTGCCAGCTGGGTGTGATGATAACACCCACTTCTCAAGATTATTCAAAGAATCAGATAGTAATTCCTATAAAGCTAATATTATTTAGAGTATCAGAGATTAGAGCTGAACATTTCATATTTCATGTCCAGAGTCTCCTCCTTCAAAGTTTCAGGAGTTCCCAGATGAGGCTGCGAGTGTTTACCTGACCTGAGGAGGAAGGCTCTATGTCTCTCCCAGGCCCTTGGCTCACTGGCTGTCAGTGCCAGCCATTGCAGACACTTCTAGGAAGGTACAGCTGGACAATTGTCACTTGTAAGCATCAGTCCCAAGAACCTGTCTCCACCATTTGCTAATCTTTGCCTGAGGGGTCAGTGTTGACGACATTTTCAGCCATCTTAGGCTTGGCTTCAGTCCTGGACAGGTCTGCTTCTAACCATGGTTCTCGGGAGCAGGGGTTAGAAATTTAAGAATTGCCAGAGAAGCAGATCGTTTTGTCAAGCACATCCCAACCATTTCCACTGGGGAAATGTTTTCCAGGATCTAAACCAAATCCAGTGTCTCGATAGTCCCTCTGTCCCACAGCAGAGGTAGTAAGTGAGAGTCAAAGGCGGGTTTTCCTCTTTTCCGCACAGGGAGGTAAATTCTCTTAGAAGTTAAGAGGTGGGTTCTGGAGTTAGAAAGCTCTTGAGAAAACCAGGGATCTTATTCCAGCTCTGCTGTTTGCTACCCATGTTCTTTGGCCAACTGCTCTGATTTCTGTGTACACTCCTCATCTGCAAAATGGGGATAATCATAGCAGACTTCATAGATTCTAAACTGTACTTTTTTTTTTTTTTTTGACATTTTAACAGCTATGGAACTGGGATGTATCTTATAATTAATGGCATCTTAGATTCATCAAAATAAGGCAATCCCTGCCTCTCAATGCCATATTAAATGAGAAAAATACATGTAAAGGCCTAGCCCCTCAAGGACACTCAGTTAACAGAAGCAGGTGCGGTTGTCATTGTTGGAATTGTGATTATCATTACTATTATTTTTACATACTGGGTATTCTGATCCTGCACTTAGCTATAATGAGCAGTAGGGTTATAGTGAAGAACCTGAAATATGGCTAGGATAAACATAAAGCTTTCTGGAAGTCAGTATTCAGGGACTGAATGATTAATCCACATAGCAAACATTTGTTGTCCAGCTACTATATGCAAATTACTAGCCCTGGGTGGTGGACAGACAATGGTAAACAAGAAATGTGCCCAGTCAACAAGCATTGTAAAATATCTGTGAGCTCTCAGGACATTTCAACACTCCCTGACTTGGAGTTATATCTCATGGATACTTACATACCCTTTTATGTTTCAGAGGTGCTTTGTATCACTGACCACTTGCTCCTCATGCTTCCTGGGTTATTCCTGCTTCTCTTTCTGAGTTTAGTCACTATCTGGTTACATGTTCCTATTTGTTGTCTTAAAGATGCTGTGACAGAACTAAGCAAAGAATTTCAGGAAGCGGGGGAACCCATCACGGATGACAGCACCAGCTTGCATAAATTTTCTTATAAACTTGAGTATCTCCTGCAAGTAAGTGACGCCTGTAATGTGTTGATTTTTGCATTGCTATCTCTTTTCTCCCTCTTGGGTGACTCATCAGCATTCAAGATATGGTTCAGAAAGCCCAAGGAGCCAGTAAGCCCTTGTGGTTAGATTGAAGGTCAGAGGAGTCCCCAGTGCAAGCTCAATCCTCCAAGTGTGATCCTTTGGGGAACTGCAATGTTGCCCCTTAGGATGGCTTTGAGAATCAAAAACATCCTTTAGAGATTTAGGTCATTGTAAGGTAGGTCAGAAGGTTACTGTATGGCAAGGATCTTAACTTTGGGACAGTTACATACCCCTTTGGGAGTTTAGTGAAAGCTATAGAGTCTTCCCAAAAAGACATTCGTGTATGTATACACACAATCACGTATTTTTGCAGGCAGATTCTAAGAGTGTGTGGACCCTCTAAAGATTATCCATGGGCTTCTGTTTTAGAGCTTTGCTACTCAATGTGCAGTCCATAGACCAGCAGCATCAGCATCCTCTGGGAGCTTATTCGTAGTATATTTTTCGTCCCCACCCCCACCTACTGAATCAGAATCTCTGGGGTCAGCCCAGGATATTTTCTTTTAACATATTGATGGTATAACTCTTATCCCTGCTTAGCCCAGAAAGTGCTGATGTAACGAACACTGCAGATGTGGAAAAATGCATGCAACTAAAACAGGCAGGAAGGAAATGATCTAGAAGTTATTTTAGGGTAGTGGTATCAGGTGTTAAATTTTTTTCAATTTTTGTGTTTTGTTTTATCTAGATACCCTAATAATATATGCATATCTTGCTTCTGTAATCAGAAAAAAATGTTATAAAATGTAAAAGAAAGGTAAACCTGTATCACTGTGAACACCATTATTTTGCAACGTCACATCCCACCAAAGCACGTAGTATGTGGGCCCACTAGAGGAAAGGCCCCTAACGTGCTGAAGGACTTGCCTCTCTCATGCCATTTCAACTGGCTCTTTAACATTGTAAAAATGTTTTTGAGCCTTTCTTTTTTTCAACTAAGCCCATTTTGGTTTTGAATTTGAAATGACTCAGAGCTGATATTTATTTAAATTTATTGTAGGTGTATTAAATGATATTGAAACTTAAGAGTTGAGTAACTGGGATAAAATGTCATTACCTTATTTCCCTAAATCTGAATTAACACTCTTCATATTGCCCTTAAGACTCTTTTTTTTTTTTTTTTTTTTTTTTTTTTTTTTTTTTTTTTTTTTGAGACAGAGTTTCACTCTTATTGCCCAGGCTGGAGTGCAGTGGTGTAATCTTGGCTCACTGCAACCTCCGCCTCCCAGCTTCAAGTGATTCTCCTGCCTCAGTCTCCCGAGTAGCTGGGATTACAGGTGCCCGCCACCACGCCCAGCTAATTTTTGTATTTTTAGTAGAGATGGAGTTTCACCATGTTGGCCAGGCTGGTCTTGAACCCCTGACCTCAGGTGATCCACCCACCTCGGCCTCCCAAAGTGCCGGATTACCAGCGTGAGCCACCACACCTGGCTAAGACTCTTTTCGTGTATTTCTTTCTCATCTGTTAATAACAAATTTGGTGGTTTTCCACCCAACTATATGAACAGGGTATTAACACACCTTGATTTGCCAATAAATAAAAATAATGCCAATAAAGGGTCTCACCCAGTGCTGGCACCTAAGAAGCTATTGTTATTATTTATCATTTAAATGCTGGGATGAAGAGCAGTGGGTTTGGACCTCCTCTCCCTGTCCCTTTCCCTACCCAGTTTGATCAGAAAGAGAAGGCCACACTCCTGGGCAACAAGAAGGACTACTGGGATTACTTCTGTGCCTGCCTGGCCAAGGTGAAAGGAGCCAATGATGGGATCCGATTTGTCAAGTCTATCTCGGAGGTAAGCAGAGCAAGCAGCCAACAACTTCGTGTCTTCCTTTTGTCTGCTTAAAGCAGATCTTGCAGAGACCTTTGCTGCAGACAGCTAAATGAGGAAGTGGGAGTTTAAGGGTGGTAAAGAAATCTAGTCCAGGTATACTCAGTGCTCATTGTTGCAGTGGCTCAAGCTTGGGAAAACCACTTCAGTGAGTGTTTACCAAGAGGAAGAATGCTGAGTCCTGAATGTACCTTAGGCCACAACCCACATGTTACTTAACAGGGTGGCCTGTTCACATACATTGTAAGTCTGCTAATGGTAGCCCTTGAGGTGTACAGCATAGGATGGCTCCATCTTTTTAAAAAATTTATTTTCTGAGATAAAGTTCTTTAGAGTTTGGTAGGCTGCTTTCCCTACACTTTGCCCAGGAAACTTAGATTTGAAATGAGAATGATGTGGGATCTTAAGAAACATTTCTTGAAATAGTGATATGCCAACTTTCTACATTCAATTCTGAGCCCCTCAAGAGCAAAATGCCATGGCTTTGCTGTTTTACAAAACTCCAGAACAACAAACACACACACATACTTCACATACACACTCACACTCTACTCTCTGTTTATTTTCCACCCTCAACCCTCAGAGAATCTTTCTTCTCTCTCATCAGCCTAGTCCATCCAGGAGTGTAGAACTTTGCATATCAGGGAGCAGGTAAACCCCTAGATTTGAGACAGGAGGTTTGTACATTTGTTCTTTCTTTTCAGTATCTCTTCAGTAGAGTGTGAAGTCACTTTAAAGTCAACACTCCTGCTGCTTGGCTGGCTGCCCACAAATACCACAGCCTTAGGTATTCTGGGAAGGGCTCCTCACCAACCATGCCAGCTGGAGCTGAATGACTTTCTTCTTATAGAGAATGACGGTGTTAGATATGCTGGCATCAACGGCTGGACGTTTCCCACCATTTGCACCCTCTGACATCTGAGACGACGAGGAAGGATCCTGGCTCTAAAGGGCTGGTTCTGCGAGTTTCTTTAATGTCCATGTTAGTGTGGATGAGTCTTGTAAGGTCTGGTGGGATACTTGGGTCCATGAGGTAGAGCAGTATTTTAATTTTAATGCATCATAAATGTGAAAGGGGTTCTCTTTGTCACTCTCCTCTCTTCATTCCTCAGCCACTGCATCAGAGCAACTAAAGCCTTTCACTTTATGACTTTGGACAGCTGAAGTCTGGAAATAAATTTAGTTTTAATCCCCGTTCCCCAGGATTATGAAATGCTTGCTAAAACACATCTACTTTTTGGCTAGTTTCTTCTTCTTTTCTCATAATGCAGACAGATCTTTAGACAGTCTGAAGCCATGGAAACTGGCTTTCTAGAAGCAGAAAGCATTCCTTGCTTGCATGAATGTTGGTGTTTTAGTGGCTGGCATAGGCTCTGCTTCCCATAGGGTCCAGTTGTTTCATCTCTGTTGAAGACTGCTCTCTGGGGCATCATTGGTTGGAATGGCTTGGAACATCCCTAGGCTAAGTGAGTTGCTGGATACTTGGTTAATTTTAATAATGAAGTCGCCATCTGGGTATTTAACTGAGAGGGTAAGAGTTAATGGATAAGAAGCATTTGTAGGTCCCCTCTGACCCCTTTGAGGTAGGAGGCAGCTATTTAGGCTAAAATAGGTGAAGGTTCTAAGAAACCATTTCTGGTGGTTCAGTATGGGCTCAGCTTGGACTGTGCTTCACTGTGATGAAGGTGTAGCTCGGCGTCGGGTTCATGGCACAATGGCCTGGTTTAAAGCAGAATCAGCTCTCATGTACCCTGCAGATTCCCTGTCCTTTGCTGCCATTGTATTGCTTCTCAGGATAGGGTATGTGGGTTCTGATTAGAAGCTAAAAACAATTAAGGAATTAGGTAATGAAAGCGGATCCATAATCTCAAAACATAAAAAGACCATGCAGCATTTTGATTTGTAGTACAAAGGAACTATTGTTCCCTTCCCTCTAAAAATACCTTTTAAAACAAATAGCTCCATATATATATATATATGTGTGTATGTATATATATATATATATAAAATTCAGTTAATGGGCCTGATTAAAAATATAGCCTCAAATGTTTGCCATTAAAAAGTTTTAACGTTCTAAAGGCTGGTATAATGGTAAGTTTGCAAAAATAAGGACAAGCTCCTGTCTTTGGGAGCTTACAGACCTGGGCTGTGATGTGAGCGTCTTAATGAAATTCTGCAGGGTGTGTGTTTGTATAATTGACATGCTTCACTGCACAATGCCTTGCTTAGCTCTTTCCAATTGCCTGAATTTCCTGGTTATCACCACTAAACACTTTGTTCTCACCTCAGTCGTCAGTGAAAAAAAAAAGTGATTTAGACAGGATATACCATCAAGATTCTCCCCCACAAATCTGCTGAGATCGTCTATCTGCAGACATGTCATGGTGGTTTTCGTAAAGCCAATAAACCAGGCTGCTGCCTGCCTTCACTTCCAGGTGTCCTGGCTGCACCCGAAACACACATGGGGAATTGTCTTACAGCTTCTCTAGTTAAAAAGATTTAACACCATTTTGTTTTTTAAAACTACTTCATATGGTATCATTTCCTTGAGTCAGCGGTAAGAAGAAATATAGCTCTGAGTTAAAGGTGCTATACGCCAGGATGTTTACCCCATTGAGTCAGGAAATATGTGGTACAGCCTCAAGCACTGGCATTAAATATAGGGGTTTGGAGTCAGATAGTGACTCAATATAGTGTCGGAATTAAAATCTGAATAGTATGGGTTATAGGAACCCTCTTTGGCAAACCACTGCTCCCCCTTCCCCCATCACATATACACACTGTAAATATTTCTGGCCTTTGAAGGGGTCGGGAGGGTATTGGTCCCAGCTTACCCTACCCAGAGCCAGCGCCTGAGAGAGCAGGCACATGTGGTAGGTCAGGAGGTTTTGAATTCCTGCCGACTTTCTTGAGCTTCTGGGCTGACCTGTCAGGAATATGAATCCTAATTTGCAAACTTGCCCAAGTGTCTTCTGTGGCTGTCCCTTTTATTCCTTCCGCCTTGGCCGTTGTATGCTCCCAGCTGACAGAGCCCTGCTTTGCGGCCTCATGGCAGTGTCTCTGACCAACATATCCCATCTCCATCACAACAAGCTTTTGAGTGGTGTGAATTTAAGCCTCAAAACAGCTCCAGTCACATCTTCCCCTTCCTCTGAATTGGTTTTTAGGTATAAGCTCTGTAGGGAGAGGTTTTGAAGACAGACCTACACCTGGGCCTTCCTATGCAATCCATGCCAAACTTGTGAGACAGACCCATATCCATTTTATCCTTAGCCCCGTGTGACTGGGCTGCCTAGAGACACCCCTGGTCTCACCCCTGGGCTCCTTCTGATTCAATGTAGTGATTTGGCATATCTGATAAAGAACAGGAAATCCAACCAGGAAAGCGTTGGCAGACTTGTAGATTTTACTGATGGTTTCATGGAACACAGATGAGGCAGTTACATGGCCACATGCACGCACCTCTGCCTTTGTCCCTCTCTTCTTCCTTCTGCACATATTTCTGCCAAGCCTTTAGGCCCTTCCCCTGCACCTGTTCCCCACACACCTTAAAAACAAACCAGCATTAGCTGAGCTGAGACCATCTCTTCCTCCTCAAGCTGACTTGTGGTGTGAGAAGTCCTTCATTTACCTACCTCCAGGTTTTACTCTAATATAAAACTGAGTTTTATTTGGTTTCCTATCTGACTGCAAACCCAGAGATTCTGATAGAGCAGAGGAGGGAAAGTGACATTCCAATAGAATCCACAGATGTTTGGAAGCCTCTTGTTAATATATCTTCCATGATATGTTTGCTGGAGTCTGCAGATTATTCTCAGATGAAGGCCTGCAAGTAGTTCGCCCACTTCAAGCCTTACTCTCTGCAGTGATAGTATCAAATGTGTTGTGTCCTTTGAAGGACAACGTGTAGGGTAAAATTGGGTGACATTGTTTGCCCTGTATCTGTGTTTCACAAGCCATCTATGAGACCAGGTCTGTATTTGGAGTTAGACTAACAGCTCTTTGGCTCTATGTAATCTGCTTTCTCCAGCTCCGAACATCCTTGGGGAAAGGAAGAGCATTTATTCGCTACTCCTTGGTGCACCAGAGGTTGGCAGACACCTTACAGCAGTGCTTCATGAACACCAAAGTGACCAGGTAAATACAAGACAGGGCTGGGGTTTAGCACCATCCCATGCAGAAATGAACTCAAGTTCATTAATAATAATGACAACTGCAACATAGTGCTCATTTGTGTCCCTCGTGACACTGCAGACTCCTTCCACATCTACCATTGTCTTCCACCCCTCCTCCCAAAGTCCTTGACACATGTGGGCAGGTAGCACTGAGTTTTTATAGGTTACTGAGGCTTAGGGGAGCTTAATGCTTTTCTCTAGGCCTCAGCCGTTGCTCTCTTAACTCCCGATACCAGACATTTTCCCTGGTGGACGGCATGTCCTTGGTGCCAGCACTACTGGACAGACAGGTTACAGCCTTGGCCTCTCAGCAGAATCACCTGTGGGGTTTTTAACACTATTGAGCCTGGGTCCTCACCTGGCATACTGAGTGAACACACCAGAGACTGTGATGGGCAGCCAGGACTGGGGGCCACTGCAGAGCTCAGGTCAGGTGTGCAGTCAGCCTTTGTGCAGGTAGTGCTGAAGCCTCAGCAGGGAAGAGAGAAGGGAGGAGAGGGGCAGGGATTGAGTCTATAATGGGGAGAGTGGGTATCAGCTTAGAAGCTGCAAATCAGGTACCAGACAACTAAACCTCTTTGGGTTTTCCAGCATCTCTTGCCTGGCCTCTTTCCTTTGGGAGTATTCAAATTTTTTTTGAATCTAAAAAAACTACAAAGGAAAACCTTTTGTTTCATTATGTCACCTTAAAGATTGATTTGCATAGAGATGTACTCGTATTTCTCATGCATGTGACAGGCCTTGTGAATTGGTGTGAGCTGAAAAAGTTTGCATATTTGATTTGAAGGTTGTTTTGTTTTAGATATTCGGTGAAGATCGTCATAAACAGCTTGACTTAATCACAGTTCACAGACAATAATGTCCCACTTTTTTGCCCACGTGGGAGTGCAGTGGCACAATCATAGCACACTATAACCTCAAGCTGCTGGGCTCAAGTAATCTTCTTACCTCAGCCTTCGAGTAGCTGGATAGGCATTTACCACTGTGCCTGGCTAATTTTTTACTTTTTGTAGAGACATGGTCTCACTATATTGCCCAGCCTGGCCTCAAATTCCTGGACTCAAGTGAACCCCCTGCCTAGGCCCCCCAAAGTGCTAGAATTACGGGTGTGAAGCACTATGCCCAGCCATCTTTTTCTTTTTGGGTGGGGGTTGGAGTAGGGGGAATAGGGTCTTAACCTGTCACACAGGCTGGAGTGCAGTGACACAATCATAATTCACTGTAGCCTCTACCTCCTGGGTTCAAGCAATCCTCCTGCCTCAGCCTCTTGAGAAGCTGGGACTACAGGTGCATGCCACCATGCTCAGCTAATTTTTTATTTTTTTGGTAGAGATGGGACCTTGCCATGTTGCCTACCCTGGCCTCGAACTCCTGGGCTCAAGCTATCCTCCTGTCTTAGCTTCCCAAAGTGTTGGGATTACAGGCATGAGTAACTGTGTTCTGATGCATCTTTTTAAAATTCTTGTTACTTTGCCTGAAATGAAACAACCACTACCTCAAAATGCAGATAACATTTATTTTATTTTTTCTCACCCTGTCTTATGGTGCTGAAACATTTCTGAATAATTTGTTCCTTGGCTTTTAAATTGGTATCTGGACAGAAATTAGCAGTTGAGTTTAGTGTCCCATGTTGAGTTCTGAAAATGGAATAGAAAGTAAAGTTATCTTTCAAAAAATAAGTTTTCTTTCTCCTACAATTGCCCTTCCTTGGCAAATAATTGACATTTAAGGTTCCCATATCATTTTTGAGAAGTAGATATGATATATGTAATAAATGAACAAGCATCCAGATTATTGCAGTAGTTTCTTTGAAGAAGAGCAAGCTTATTTGAGAGTTATGTTCTTCTACCATGAAAATGAAATTGGTTTGTGTGCCTGTGTCTTTTAATTTAGTAACCTGAGTTGGAATTCGATGAGGCAGAGCCACAGTGGGAGGACTGATTAAATTCACACATTCTTTATCTTTATTACTCTTATAATTGACGTGTTTTTCTGCAGTGACTGGTACTACGCAAGAAGCCCCTTTCTGCAGCCAAAGCTGAGCTCGGACATTGTGGGCCAACTGTATGAGCTGACTGAGGTTCAGTTTGACCTGGCGTCGCGGGGCTATGACTTGGATGCTGCCTGGCCAACATTTGCCAGGTACTTTGAAGGATTGCTTGGTTTAAAAGACAGGAAAAGAGACATTTAAAGTTTTGAAGATTGCCACCAGTCTACTCAAAGCAATTTTGCTTGCTCAGTAAATTACATAAAACTGTTCAACTCTTATTCCAGCTCCTTTTACAGACTTTGTTGAATCATGACTAACAATAATATCTGAAGGCTCCAACCTTAAACCAACCTAATTGGCCAGGGCATGAGTCAGTGGAGATGCATACTGCAAAAGCCAAGGCTTTAAAAATTTTTTAAGGCACTTGTTGCTATGGGCAGTGGGGGAGGAGTGGGCTTTTTCCCCTGCCTGTTCTTATGGAGTTACTACAGAAGGCTCCTAAGCAGTAGGAGAGGAAGTAAAAGCCACAGCTCGTCCACGTAAGGGTTGCAGGAAAGGTTGCTGCGTTTTGTTTCTTCTTTCTTTATTTTCTGAGGCCATCAAGCCAGCCATATCTTACACCAGTGTGGCACTCACATACCACCAGAGTCCTTACATCAGCTCCAGGAAGGAGGTGTGAGGAACAGGCTCAGAGGATCAGGGGACTTGACAAAGTCACCCAGCTGGTGGGCAGCAGGCCTGGAACACCTGACTTAGGTTAAAATCAAGTCCAGCATTCTTTGTTTTGTTTTGCTTTCTGTTTATAAGGCTTTTAAAATTTAACGTTCATATTTTTTATTAGGAAATACTTCACATATAGAGAAAAGTGGTGAATATGATAGTCACACGCAAACCACCAGGATTTAATAGCTTACATTTTGCCATATTGAGGTGTCCTTTTTTTATTTTTATTTTTTGTAGGGACGGAGTCTTGCCATCTTTCCCAGGCTGGTTTGAACTCCTGGGCTCAAACAATCCTATCTTGGCATTCCAAACTGCTGGGATTACAGGCATGAGCCACCACGCCTGGCCCAGATATTCTTTTTAAAACTTTCACATTTTGAAATAATTTCAGAATTACAGAAAAGTTGCAAAAATAATACAAAGTACTCATCTATCCTTCACCCTGATTCCCTAGTTATTGATATTTTACTATAATTGTTTATCATTTTTTCTATTTACATGTTGATTTATTTCCTAAGCCTTTTGAGAGTAAATTACAGACTTGATCTTCTTTTCTCTTAAGTACTTAATTATGCATTTCCTAAAATCAAGGTCATCCTGTTATATAACTCAGTACAGTTATTAAAATCAGAAAATTAACATTGATACAATACTGCTATCTAATCTACAGATCTCATTTAAATTTTACAAATTATGTCAATAATGTCTCTCATAATCCAAGACCCAATCCCAGATCACATATTGTTAATTCATTCATGGCTATGCCTCTCTAGTCCCCTTTAATTCTGAACAGTTTTTCAGGCTTCGTCTTTCATAACTTGACATTTTTGAAAAATACAGGCCAGTTATTTTGTAAAATGTTCCTTAATTTGAGTTTGACCGATGTTTCCTCATTATTGGACTTGGGTTAAGTGTTTTTGGCGGGAATGCCTCAGCTGTTGTCTTGTCAGCACACTGTATCTGGAGGCCCACAGTGTTGATTTGTTTCACTACTAATGAGGTTAATCCTGGTCATTTAGGTAACGCGGTGCTTGCCCAGTTTCTCCAAAAGTTACTATTTCTTCCTTTGTAATGAATATGTATCTTATGCGAAGGCATGTTGAAATTACATTATTATCCTTTTTTCTCTTAAATCTGTCCTGTATTAGTTTTAATACCATTTGATAATTCTTGCCTGAAGCAGTTATTACCATCATCATTACCAGAGTGATTTTCTAACTCCATTATTTCTTTTACATTATTAGTTGGCATTCTACTGTAAGGAAAATCTTTTTCTTTTTCCCCATTTATTCATTCATAGCAGTATTGACTCATGGATTCTTACTTTATTCAATAGGTTACATTCTGTCACTGTCATTACTTATTTTGAAGCTTAAATTATCCCATTTATCCAATTACCCCAGTGGGAGCCCCTGTCAAGCTGGCTCTTGTGGGGAGATTTGGTTACATCTGATACTTTTTTTAATAAATAAAATATTATAGATCGGCTAAAGCCCCACCCCATTGCCATCCTTTCTCCTTTGTTCCCCTTTTAGAAGTAATCATGGCCCTATAATCAATGCATTTCATGCCCAGATCTTCTGCTTTCATTATTACTTGTGTATTTGTAAATAGTTTATATAGTGTATATATATAGTTTTATTTTGTAAACGTTTTAAAATTTTACACATGTTGAATCATGTGATAGCTGTCCTTTTGCAACCTGCTTTTTTCATTCTGCCTTGTTTTTGAGATTTTGTATCTGTTTATACATGGAGTTCTGTAAGTATAGAGTTGGGTTGGCAAACCACAGCCCCAGGGCTGTATGGAACACAACTTTGCCCATTTATTCACCTGTTGTCCATGGCTGCTTTTATGCTAACAGTGCCAGTTGAGTGACAGAGACCATATAGCCCACAAGACAAAAATATTTACTATCTGGCCCTTTTCAAAAAAACCAAAAAGAATGCTAACCTATGGTGTAGAGAATTCTGTTGGGTGAATAAGCCATAGTGTATCTCTTTCCCTAGCAGTGTAGAGTTTGTTTGGTTTCCCTTTTTCCAGTTACAGTGCTGCCAAGAGCATCCTCACTGTCTCCTTATGTACCTGTGTGACTGTCTTCAGGGAAGATACCGTGAAGGGCAGTTGCTGGGTTGTGGAGACTAAGTATGAAAACACAATAATTTTAGATTTAGGAGATGATTCTGGTGAAGTAAAAATATGTTTAGGTTCCTGCTAAACAAGAGTCATCACACAAGCCTTTGTATTTCTAAACCAATGCCATTCAATGGAACTTTCTGTGATGAGGGAAATGTTCTGTATCTGCACTGACCGGCCTGGTTATGTGACCTAGAAGCAGCCTCCCAGCCACACTGTTGCTGTGTCATGCAGAGCGGCAGCTGAGCCCCCAAGCACAGTGTGACTCTTATTTACCAAACTGACTGCTGCTTGTTCCTCACTGGCAGACAAACTGAGGCAGGCACCAAAAGCTCAAGAAAAATTTAAACCAAATATCGGGAAATACATGTTCACGTAATTCTTTTCTGGCAGTGGGAGGAAAGCCATGATGGTAAAACTCTAGCCATGGAGTTCATCTGTTACAGACCAGTGTAGCTGTGCTCTTTGGTGGAATCTGTTGGGTTTGACTTCCTTATGTTCTACCTGGGAAGGCAGCCCCCTACCACCACCTGGTTGCCTGGTGACCAGCAAGGCCTCCATGTATGTAGGTTTCCTGCTCTGAATACAGGTATGTCTCCTTTGTGGCCCCACAGGAGGACACTGGCCACCGGCTCTTCTGCTTACCTGTGGAAACCCCCTAGCCGCAGCTCCAGTATGAGCAGTTTGGTGAGCAGCTACCTGCAGGTAAGGCCAGGAAGGCTGGGAATTATCTTACTATAGCTTCTACCAGGGTATGTCCTTGTCCCTAGCAACTCAAGGGTGATGTTTTCAGATACCTGTTGTTCCAGCCAGAGCAATAGAACCACTCAGTTATAGCCACTATTCCCTGGAGTCTGGGTTTTTCAACCAAATGGAATCTAGGCTCTCTTGAAATTAAATTCTTTTAAATGATTTTAAAGTATTTTAAAAGAAGCAGTTTGGCACCATGGTTAAAAGTGACAGAGTCAAATCCTGACTCTCACCTACCAGCTATGACCAAGGGGAAATTACTTAACCTTCAGCTCTCTCATCCACAGGATGGGGGTAATAAAAATCATTCTAGTTCATAGATGAGGGCTTGACATATGCAAGGGCTCAGTCAATGTTAGTAGGTAGGGGCAGTTTGTTAATTTTTTTAGAAGTATGTATTTATCACAGCTGTATATAGTGCTGTGAAAACTGATCAGCAATTTAAAAAAATAAAATGATCAACATAAGGAGCATTAAGAGTAGAAAATAGATGAATCTTTTACCTTATTTTGTGCCTTAATCATGCCAGGAATTGCGGGTATGGGTGTGGCACAGTGAGTGAATAATAGCTTAGATATAACTGAATGTATCTCAGAGACAATGTCCATTAAAAGCTAAAGAAGGCTGGATGGGAAAAGCAAGTCTGTATCTCAGTGGAGCTCACATGGGTGGCCTCCTGGCTTTGGAATGTGCTGCTGAATGTGTGGCAGATGCTTTGAGCAAAGGGATTCTAGTCTTTTGAATAGCTCTTTAGACTAACCTTAGGGCAGGTAATGCCTGTATTTTTACCTCTGCTCTCATTAAACTCTAAAGCTTTTCTGAGTAGCCCTGTAGCTTCATCCCAAAGCCACTTGTCTTTTGTGTTTTTCCTCCCAGACTCAAGAGATGGTGTCCAACTTTGACCTGAACAGCCCCCTAAACAACGAGGCATTGGAGGGTTTTGATGAGATGCGACTAGAGCTGGACCAGTTGGAGGTGCGGGAGAAGCAGCTACAGGAGCGCATGCAGCAGCTGGACAGAGAGAACCAGGAGCTGAGGGCAGCTGTCAGCCTACAAGAGGAGCAACTGCAGACAGAGAGGGAGAGGGGACGCACTGCAGCAGAGGACAACGTTCGCCTCACTTGCTTGGTGGCTGAGCTCCAGAAGCAGTGGGAGGTCACCCAGGCCACCCAGAACACTGTGAAGGAGCTGCAGACGTGCCTACAGGCCCTGGAGCTAGGAGCAGCAGAGAAGGAGGAGGACTACCACACAGCCCTGCGGCGGCTGGAGTCCATGCTGCAGCCCTTGGCACAGGAGCTTAAGGCCACACGGGACTCACTGGGCCAGAAGAACCAGCATTTAGCCAGCATCCCAGACTGGCTAGCCATGGCTCAGCAGAAGGCAGATACAGCACCAGACACAAAGGGTCAGCAAGAACCTATTCCCAGTGATGCGGCCCGGGAGATCCAGGAGCTAGGGGAGAAGCTTCGAGCCCTAGAAAGGGAGAGAACCAAGGTCGAGGAGGTCAACAGGCAGCAGAGTGCCCAGCTGGAGCAGCTGGTCAAGGAGCTGCAGCTGAAGGAGGATGCCTGGGCCAGCCTGGAGCGCCTGGTGAAGGAGATGGCCCCACTCCAGGAGGAGTTGTCTGGGAAGGGACAGGAGGCAGACCAGCTCTGGCAACGGCTACAGGAGTTGCTGGTGCACTCGAGCTCCCGGGAGCAGGAGCTAGCAGAGTTGAGGCGGGAGAAAAAACAGCAACAGGAGGAAAAGGAGCTGCTGGAGCAGGAGGTCAGGTCCCTGACCCGGCAGCTGCAGTTCCTGGAGACCCAGCTGGCACAGGTGAGCCAACATGTGAGTGACCTGGAGGAGCAGAAGAAGCAGCTCATCCAGGACAAAGACCACCTCAGCCAGAAGGTGGGTGCACTCGAGCGGCTTGCTGGGCAGCCCGGCCCAGAACTGCCAGTGGCAGGGGAAAAGAATGAGGCCCTGGTCCCTGTGAACTCCAGTCTGCAAGAGGCCTGTGGGAATCCAGAGGAGGAGCAGAGGGGCCTGCAGGAGGCACAGTTCGATGATACCAAGGTGCAGGAGGGCAGCCAGGAGGAAGAGCTCCGGCAGGCCAACAGGGAACTGGAGAAGGAGCTGCAGAATGTGGTCGGGCGTAACCAGCTCCTGGAGGGCAAGCTGCAAGCCCTGCAGGCCGATTACCAGGCTTTGCAGCAGCGGGAAGCAGCCATCCAGGGCTCCTTGGCCTCCCTGGAGGCCGAGCAGGCCAGCATCCGGCACTTGGGCGACCAGATGGAGGCAAGCTTGCTGGCTGTAAGGAAGGCCAAGGAGGCCATGAAAGCCAAGGTGGCAGAGAAGGAGGCCACTCTGCAGAGCAAGGAGGGTGAGTGCCAGCAGCTGCGGGAGGAGGTGGAGCAGTGCCGTCAACTGGCAGAGGCCCAGCACAGAGAGCTCAGGGCTCTCGAGAGCCAGTGCCAGCAGCAGACCCAGCTGATTGAGGTCCTCACCGCAGAGAAAGGCCAACAGGGAGTTGGCCCACCCCCCGACGATGAAGCCCGTGAGCTGGCTGCCCAGCTGGCCCTGTCTCAGGCGCAGCTGGAAGTCCATCAGGGGGAGGCCCAACGGCTGCAGGCTCAGGTGGTGGACCTCCAGGCCAAGATGCGGGCAGCCCTGGATGACCAGGACAAGGTACAGAGCCAGCTAAGCATGGCTGAGGCAGTCCTGAGGGAGCACAAGACCCTTGTGCAGCAGCTGAAGGAGCAGAATGAAGCCCTTAACAGAGCCCATGTCCAGGAGCTGCTGCAGTGCTCAGAGCGTGAAGGGGCGCTGCAGGAGGAGAGGACCAGTGAGGCCCAGCAGAGGGAGGAGGAGCTGCGGGCCCTGCAGGAGAAGTTGTCCCAGGCCAAATACAGCTCCGAGGAAGCACAGCTGGAGCACGCTGAGCTGCAGGAGCAGCTGCACCGGGCCAACACGGACACAGCCGAGCTGGGCATCCAGGTTTGCACACTGACCATGGAAAAGGAGCAAGTGGAGAAGGCACTGGCCTGTGCTGTCCAGGAGCTCCAGGACGCCAAAGAGGCAGCCTCAAGGGAGCGAGAGGGCCTGGAGCGCCAAGTGGCTGGGCTGCAGCAAGAGAAGGAGAGCTTGCAGGAGAAGCTGAAGGCGGCCAAAGAAGCAGCCGACTCACTGCCTGGCCTGCAGGCCCAGCTCACCCAGGCCGAGCAGCGGGCCCAGAGCCTCCAAGAGGCTGCACGCCAGGAGCTCGACACCCTCAAGTTCCAGCTGAGTGCTGAAATCATGGACTACCAGGGCAGACTTAAGGTAATCCTAGCTTCAACCACTTGGGCTCTACCCATCTGCCCGGGCAGGCCTGGTGGGTCCATGGGAGGATGCACCTTCAGCCATGAGGCAGGTGAGGGCTGGAGAATGTACTGTGGGTGCAGGCAAACACCTTGTGGCCCTGTCCTGCTATCACAGCTCACAGTAGTATCTTTCTCTCTGCAGGAACATGTTAGGGCCAGAACATTTGGAGTAATACCTTAGCCCAGAAGTCTAAACTCAAGACCACTGCAAACTAGATTAGCCCACACAGAAGTTTTTAAAATTAGTAGCCAACATTCAAAGAGCAGGGTGTTTACAAATACAGTTTGAGGGCTTCTTTTGAAACCTCAGAAGATCTGAAAGCCTGCGTCCTCACCCTGCCCCCTCCCCGTGGCAGCAGTCAGCAGGAACCCGAGGGTGTCTGCCCACTTTAAAGGAGGCACACATCCTCTGCACTTTTCCTTACACTGGTTTCTGTACTTGCGCAGCCCCCTACCCCGCCCTGGGCATGTGAGTGTGAGAACACTGACTTGGCCTCTAAAACCCCTTCTGAGGGCCAGCAGTTCACAGCTGTCTCACGTCCTAGCTCTGGGTTCTTAATGAATAACCAACCCCATCAGGTGCTCTCCTGACAGCCGATATAGGGTAGGGAACCAGCTTATTTCGTTTTTACAAGGCCCTTGGGACAGACAAGTTAATGAGATGAGCAGTTAATATGTCTCTCTGATAGTGCACAAAGATGAAGAGTTAAGGACTGTTTAGATTGAAGACACGGCAGAATGGCCTGGGGCTTTGATTTCCAGGGCTTGCCACTAGTCTGTCTGCATCAAGGTCTGTGCCCTCTCAGGCTACTCCTAACCCTCCTCTCTGAGGCAGCTCCACCGCACTGCCACAGATGTGCCTCCCCACCCAGTGCCACCCCACTCCGTGAAACTCCATGTGGCTCATAGCCAACCTTTTCCCTTGCAGAAATTAAGTTCTAAGTTTGGGGACCAGGCTAAGTCTCTTTTCTTAGTAAGCTTGAAAGTATTTCACTATTGATAAGCCCAAAGCTCATTGAGGAGCCAGTTTGCAGGGAAAAAGAGAAAGGCAGCTTGGTTTTATCTATTTGGGTGATGGGGCTGAGGGATCCTCAGAGCAAGGACCCTACATTTATGATCCCTTTCGTATCCTCTCTAGAATGCTGGCGAGGAGTGCAGGAGCCTCAGGGGCCAGCTTGAGGAGCAAGGCCGGCAGCTGCAGGCTGCCGAGGAAGCTGTGGGGAAGCTGAAGGTAGGCTCTGGTGGTGTGGACCTCTCAGGGAGAGGGCATCTGGTGTGGTTTTGACTGGATCATTTAAGAGGGCTCCCTGCATGCCTCCAGATTCCCAAGCTGAAGCCGTCCTCAGTTTACCTTTGTAGACACCCTCAGTTTGTACCCTGACCCCCTCCATCCGTTCCCTGGACACCTGGCTGGAGCTGCCAAATGCAGAAAGGAAATAAGTGTCCTGTTTGGCCATCTCTATGGGTGATCACCAGCCAGTGATTCTAAAATGGGCAGCAGCAGAGGTGGCACTGGTCCCACAGTCTTCAGAGCAGTGACTTGTCCAAGTGAATCCTGCTCCCTGCCATCCCTACCTTCAGTGTCACCCTGGGAATTCTGGTACCTGCCACTTGCCAACCACCTTAACTAGTTGCAGTTGAGGCCCCACAAATATGGAGCAGAGATTCATGGCCTCTTGAACTTAATAGAAAACAACCCTCCATTTAGAAGTGACCCAGCCAGATGGGGTGGATGGCACACCAGCCACTTTATGGTACATTGCATGGGCTTCTGCAAGCTGAGTGTCTTCTCCCTGATGTCCTGTGCCAGGCCACCCAAGCAGACATGGGAGAGAAGCTGAGCTGCACCAGCAACCATCTTGCAGAGTGCCAGGCGGCCATGCTGAGGAAGGACGAGGAGGGGGCTGCTTTGCGTGAAGACCTAGAAAGGTTAGTCACAGTCCACCTACGCAGCTGTCGGTAGTCTTCAGGGAAGGAGTGTTTGGTCTCGTCATTTAGAAAGTCAGTCACTCATGTTAGGTTTAGGAAATCCTTTTGCAAGAAAAGCCACAAACTCAGAAAGTGCTTGTGCTGGAAGCATGCCACAGAGAACCCGGCTGCCTGCCCATCCCAGCCTATACACAGCTAAAGCACCTTTCTCCTAACTTGATTTCCTTCTCTCTGGCAGTGCATACTTGAGTAACTGCAAGCTTTGGAAAAACTAAAATGAAGTAAAAGTTAGATCATAATAATAATGGTAATAGTAACAGCATATATTTAAATAATGCTGAAAATGTGGCAGGCTCTGTTTTGAATACTTTGCATACATTTACCCATGTAATCCTCCTAACAGTCCTGTGAGGAAGGTGTTATCATCTATCCCCATTTTATGGATGAGGAAGATGAGCGTGCCAAGGACCAGGATCAGCCTGTCTTTGTGCAGACTCTCTGATGCCATATCTGTGGAGAGCAGATCACGCTGCCATCCCAAGGCCTCCTTGACCCGCTCATTTTCAGACGGGGCCACGTGGAGTTGTGAGCCTAGGTCCACCGTGTGGTCATGGGACCCAGCTAGTTGAGCCAGGACCTGATTAAGAAAAGGTGTAACAGGGAGGAAGACCTAGTTTTAAAAAGGTGTAGCAGAAAGGAGGAGTTGCCAGAATCGAACTGCATGTGTGCCACCAGCAAAGATAAGCACACCAAATTGTCCCAAGTCTCTAACTTTTCTATTTATCTATTACCTCTTCCCAACACCTGCCTTCTAGGCCTGGGCTCTGGCTTAGTGGGAGATCCAGGATATCTTTGACATTCAGTAACCTGGACATACATTTCCTTTCATCTTACCCTTCCAGTGTTCAGATCCTATAGGGCACTGGCTGCCCTTAGTTCTAAGTCATGTTCACATGACAATTTAAACAGAGCCTGAGTTGGTGGCATGAAAACATGATATAACAGTGGTTATTTGTAACATCTCAGAGCATTTGTTTCAGTTGTTCCAAGCTCCACAGTCTATCTGCCAACTTATTTTATTCAGTGTATGTGTGTGCATGCACACACGTACACCACCTGTGTGTGTGGGTGCACCTATAAGCCCATTTTGGTGGACAGGGTCTAGTAAACAACTTCCTGGCAACTTTATACTAGATGTGGAAGGTATAAATTAATCAGTCTCTCTGCAGAACCCTTTGTTTAATGGAGCTTTTATTATGTCCCACTGGACCATCCTTGGAAAACCACTGCCTTAGGAGATAGCTGCGTTAAAAATGGAGTGGGTGGGGTGAGGAAGACAGCAAGATTCAGCCAGTTTCCTCTGCTGAAGACTGAGACACCCTGCAGCACCTAAAACAGAATTCCTTGGGCCTCAGGGGGGCTATCAGGTAGAACAGCTGGCAGTGCAGATTAAGACTGAGCACCTGCTGTGGGCCCAGCACCATGCCCCATGTGTAGAGTCCCAGGGACATATGGAAGACAGGCCCTCCTCTGTGTGGCCACCTCCAGTAAACTACACCTCAGTCCTGCCTGTCCTGACTCCTTTCTCCCCCTGCTCGTCCTCCCCATCACCAGCCCATGAGCCTTGTCTATCAGGCTTCTCTTGCAAGCCCAGCCCCTGTCCAGGAGCCAAGGGGTGCAGAGTTCTATTCACTTAGGGTGCTTCTGGCAACCTGGGGTCAGCCTCCTCTCCCTCCAAGGATACCCCTTTGTATGTGGGGGTGTGAGGAGAGTCTCAAAAGCTAGGGAACTGCATAACCTGTGAGCAGATACCTGTGAGCAGTACCAAGGGGCTCCTTCATGGCGGGGGCAGTAGCACCCCTCATTAGAGTCCTGGGTGAGCCCAGAGGCCTGGGAAAGCTGGAAGTTCTGGCTAATCAAGAAAACTTACCACTCCTCCCCCAGGACCCAGAAGGAACTCGAAAAAGCCACAACAAAAATCCAAGAGTATTACAACAAACTCTGCCAGGAGGTGACAAACCGCGAGAGGAATGACCAGAAGATGCTTGCTGACCTGGATGACCTCAACAGAACCAAGAAGTATCTCGAGGAGCGGCTGATAGAGCTGCTCAGGTGAGTGCTGTGTCAAACCAGCAGCTGGGGTTTTCCCCACACTTGGGTTTTCTCTAAAGAAATGCAGCTGTTCTTGAAAGCGTACTTCAGAAATTTCCCCATTTTCTTGCACCTCTCTCAGGAGCCCCTCTCTCCTCCTCCATCTCACTTTCCCCAGTACTAGAGTCCCAAACTCCAGTGCCTGCAGGTACCAGGCAGCTGATATAAGTGGGAGCTGGGTCGGGAGGGGACTGTGAGAAACTGGGGACACAGTTGGGCTCTACTTCTGCCACATCAGTCTTGGCCCAGAACTGCTAGACCGCCTTTCTTCTCAAGAGAAGGTGGAAACCTGGATTTTAATGTGAAGTGTCCTGATTTTTTAATCCTGACAAGTCATTCAAAACTTATTTTAACTTTTCCTTATGGAAATTTTCAAATATACAAAAATGGAATCATGTAATACACCTCCCAGCTTCAGCAGTGTTCAGCTCAGGGCCAGCCTGTCACCCGGCTTCAACAGTGTTCAGTTCAGGGCCAGTCTTGATTGATCTGTAGACCCACCTGTTTACCTACCTTCCCAGATTTTGAAGCAAATCCCACACATATCATTTCATCCATAAATATTTCAGTATGTACCTCTCCAGGGTAAGGACTCTTTTATTTTCTATTTTTTGAATTTTTTTTTTCTTTTTTGAGGCAGAATCTCACTCTGTTGCCCAGGCTTGAGTGCAGTGGCGTGATCTTGGCTCACTGCAACCTCTGCCTCCTGAGTTCAAGCGATTCTTGTGCCTCAGCTACCCGAGTAGCTGGAATTACATGCACACATCACCACTCCTGGCTAATTTTTATATTTTTAGTAGAAACAGGGTTTCACCATGTTGGCCAGGCTTGTCCTGAATTCTTGGCCTCAAGTCATTTGCCTGCCTCAGACTCCCAAGTGCTGGGATTACAGGCATGAGCCACCAAGCCTGGCCCAGAACCCTCCATTTTAAACAACCACAGTGTCCTTATTATACCTTAAGAAATGAAGTCTAGTTTCTTAATATCATCAAGTGTCTAGACAGTTTCAGATTTTTCCGATTGCCTTAGAATTTTTTCAGGTTATTCTAATCAGGATCTAAATTAGATTCATCTGTTGCAATTGATATGTCTCTTACATCCCTTTCAGTCAATGAGTTTCCCTATCATCTCTCTACTTTTGCCGATTGCATCCTCATGGTGTCATTTAACATGATCATCCATCCCTTGCATTTCCTGTGAGTCCATAGATAGAACTATTGCAGTGGTTGTCAATCCTGGCTACATATTAGAATCACTAGGGAAGTAATTTTAAAATGGCCATGTCCAGGCCCCACCCAGACAAACTGAATTGGAATTTCTGGGAGTGAGACTCAGACACCAGTGAGCCAGAGCTGAGAACCATCATTCTACTGGCAGCTTGCTTAGACTCAGGTTCAAAATTTTGGCAAGAAGCCTTCATAGAATTGGTTTGTAGTTTGGGATCTTTCTTTCAAGAGGCACATACAATCTGATTAGCCCTCTTTTTGTGATGTTAGCAGCACCATGGATCAGCAAAGCCTAGATATGCTAATTCATTAAGTGTTATAAAACAGTGATATTAAAATTACAAGCAATTTGAAAGTTTAAAAACTCTGCCTTCTTATCATCAATATACAGAGTTAGAACTCAGGGTATTTGTGACCTGAGGGGTGTGATGGAAAACACCAGCTCCTGGCAGCATTCCACATTCCCAAAGTGTGGGTGGACCAGCCTAGAGAATGAGGCTGCTTCAGAGAATGAGTCTTCCTGCTTCCTGACAATTTCAAGTGGCCTTGAAAAAGCCAGTAAAGCCCATGTTCAAGCTTTTTTATTTAAGGCAAAAGATCTGGGGTTGATTGGGAGTTCCTGGTCAGTGATGAAGCCTGTGTCTCTAAGGACTTAAGTGGCTCAGGTGTCACATTACTGGTGGCTGAGGAGCTGTTAGAGCTGCATTAGCCCTGAGGATGCCGACTGGGGCTTCATATGAGAAAGAACTAAACGTCCCATGTCAGACACCATCAAGCCTGAAAATGCTCATTAGTGTCCCTGAGGAAGCCTCTGTTCACATCTCCCACCCCCAGTTCATCAGGCACATTCTGACACTGCCAGACCTTTCTGGAAAGCCTCACACTTCTTTCAGTCTGGCTTCTGGAGTGACCTTACCATCTCTCTGAAGGGCAGAGGAGGCTAACATCTGATCAGATTTTCACGCTAGGGAATCTTTGATCTTCTCCACTGATAATTGTTACTTGGATCAACCATAGAAACATAAAGGGCCCCAAGAACATTAAGATTCGGGTGGGGAGTACGTTCATGGTCCTTGGGCTTACTGCACGCAGACAGTCGGCATGGCGGCACGTTTTAGCTTAAACTCCCAGTGGTCCCCAGCACTGTTGTTTAGGTGCCTGAGTGGTGGCCCTCGTTGGTGCTGGCAGCTCTTTGCAGTTGACAGTGCCTTCTGTGTACATCTTTTGCCTCCCGCGTGTTCTCACACATGTGGTGTCCGTTAAGTCTGCATGTCGGGGGAGATGGAGGAGACCTAGCGTGGGCTGGGGCATATTTCCAAGGTGAAAGTGAATTTTCTTTCTATGACTTAGGAAATTTGATACCAGTCTTTTGAAATGAAGCAAGGATCATCCTATTGTTTTCATGGATTCTCTCTTCTTCTCTTCCAATGTGGTTTCGTCCCAGGGACAAGGATGCTCTCTGGCAGAAGTCAGATGCCCTGGAATTCCAGCAGAAGCTCAGTGCTGAGGACAGGTGGCTCGGAGACACGGAGGCAAACCACTGCCTCGACTGCAAGCGGGAGTTCAGCTGGATGATGCGGCGGCACCACTGCAGGTCAGCAGGGGGCTCCTGGGTTGACACCAACACCCTGGTGGGGCCCAGGACCAGAGCAGAGAGCTCCGAAAGAGGACTCTGTGATAGGTGTTGGCACCATGGCTGACTGTTTAGGAAGAACACATTACATTTTGGCTTTAAGGGAACCAGGTAAGGAAGGTGTATTAGTTGGGATCCTAACAAGACACTCAGGGCTCCCTGAAAGAAAGAATACAGAGGTGTGGATGGAGTTAGGGGTCCCCACAGGGATGGGGCATACCCAGAGACTAGCAGTTCTTCCACCATTCCTGTAGGGACCAGAGGGGAGCAGCATTACTGGAAGCCAGCAAGAGCTGGCCTGAAACCTCACTAGAGGAACACAGGCAGTACCAGGGACACAAAGGCCAGAGAAGGATGGATAAAGATGAATCTCGGGCTGAGCTGGGGGCAGGTGCAAAATAGTCATCATAGCTGTGAAGGTCTGTGGTCTCTTAGAGCCTTAGCTTCTGAAATATGGGAGGCATACCTACAACTTGGTGCCAGGGAAGGTGGGCTCAGCCATACTTTATCTCCCTGCCTCCCAGGACCTTAGGAAGTAAACCATGCTTTCACCAAGCTGACAAGAAGGCTTTGTTGGAATCTTGTGAAATGAGCTCATGGCCGCATCCTAACGTGGGGGCAGAGCCAGGTCTGATGAGAGTCACATGGCATCCAGAGCCCAGTTTGGATGCTGAGCAGATCACACAAGATCATAGTGTATCATCCTCACAGCCTGGGCTTGTTTTGTTCCCAGGATATGTGGCCGCATCTTCTGTTACTACTGCTGTAACAACTACGTCCTGAGCAAGCACAGTGGCAAAAAGGAGCGTTGCTGCCGAGCCTGTTTCCAGAAGCTCAGTGAAGGCCCTGGCTCCCCTGATAGCGCTGGCTCAGGCACTAGCCAGGGAGAGCCCAGCCCTGCACTGTCACCAGCCTCACCTGGGCCCCAGGCCATAGGAGGCCAAGGTCAGTCTCCTGCTACTACTACCTACTATGTTCTTTAGATGCCACTCCCACCCTCCACCCCACTTGTTGTGGCTAGTTAGTGCTAATAAGCTGAATTCAGTGTTTTCTAAACTTTGGTATTAAAGAGGTGCTAAAATATATTACCACCAACTTGAGACTTTCATTTTGATATATTAGGATTGAAAGAGAATTGAAAAAGGAATAACTTTGTCCTGATAAGATTCAGTGTGATTTAACCTGAAGTCTATGTACCTCTTAATGCACATCCATGAAATACACTCCACGCTTTGGAGAATGCTGTCTACCAGAGCCGCAGCCTTGGTAGACAGCATAACTCTGGATAACTCTGGAGTTATCCAGAGTAACTCCAGGCTAGGAGTTGTGTCTGGAACCATCCATATCCTTCAGTCTCTTCCTGAAGTTGGCTCTTCTTTCATGTCCAAGGAGGGTGTAATCTCCTTTGTGTCCTCCCACTCAGCCCAGTGAAGGAAGTAGAGTTTGAGTTCTGCTGCTTCTGTTTTGAGCACACCCTAACAGACAGGCCTGGGCTGCCCTTCAGGGCACTGGACTTTGGATGTGGAGCACAGGGAGGCAGAGCTGAGATGGCACAGGCAGAAGTGGTTTCAGCTTGTCTCTGCTCGAGCATCATTGCCATCTGCAGTTGGTCCCTGTGAACTCCTCCTTGGCCTCTGTCTGGATGCAGGCCAGCCAGCCTTTAGAAATACTGTCCATTCCTCTTTTGTTTGAGTGGATTACCCGGTGGTTGGCAGCCCCCATTATGTTGTTGGGTACAAAGAACTGATGAGGATGGGGAGCGTACTTTGCACAGCTGTAGTTTTATCTTCAAATCTTTTGCCCATTTTAAAATGATTTTTAATACTGAATTTTGAGAGTCCTCTGTATATTCTCTATGCAAGTTCTTTGTCAGATATGTATTTTACAAGTATTTTTTTCCCAATCTATAGCTTGTCTTTATATTTTCTTTCAAAGAGCAAAAAAGTCTTCAAAGAGCAGAAGTATATCATTTTAATGAGGTCTAATGTATCAGTTTTTTTCTGTTATGTATAAATGTTTTTCTTTTTGTTGTCATGTCTAGCTTTACTTAGCCCAAGGACTCACAGACCTTCTTCTGTTGTCTCTTAGAAGTTTTATAGCTTTAGCTTATACATTTAGGTCTGTGATTCATTTTCAGTTATCTTTGTGTGTGGTGCAAGGTGTGAATAGAGGTTCATCTTTTTGTATGGTTGTCCAGTTATTTCAACACCATTGATTGAAACTGTTCTTTGTACCTTTGTCAAAAACCGACTTTATTTTTTTTTTATGCTGCCATGAGAAAGTAAGCAATTGACCTTATATGTGTGGATTTATATCTGGACTTTTATTCTATTCCATGTATCTATGTGCCTATTCTTTCACCAATACCAAACTGTTATGATGACCATAGTTTTATAAAGCATCCTAACATCACGTAGAGTGATTCCAGTTTTGTTCTTTATCAAAGTATTGGCTAGTCTAGGTTTTTTGTTTTTCTATATAAGTTTTAGAATCAGTTTGTCAATTTCTACAAAAAATCCTGGTGATATTTAAATTGAGATTGCATTGAATCTCTAGTTCAGTTTGGGGAGAATTGACATCTTAATAAAATTGACTGAGTCCATGAACATGTTGTAACTTTCTATTTATTTAAGTCTTCGGTTTATGTCAGTGGACATCATTTTAGATCCCTGTTGTCTGCTTTCCCTTCCCTGTGCCAGCTTTGCAAGGCAGATTCAGGAGGGTGGCTGGGTCTATCGAAAAAAACCAATCCCTGGCCCCTTTTTTCAGCCTATGCCTCAAGCTCTCTATTATACAGACTTGAGATAAGAAGAAGAACTTCACTTCTAAAGCAGGGCCTGTCTTAGTGGTCATGTGGCAGGTCCAGCTGGGAACTTTAAGCTCACATGAACCATTTTTCTTGCTAAACACCCCAGGAACTTTGCATGGGCTTGCCCCGACTCATTAGTGACCACAGAGTGCTCAGGTCACTTGTTTTGGTTTTTGACATTTCCTGTCTGCTCATTTTAAATTTTTGATTTATTATTTATTTATTTATTTATTTATTTATTTATTTATTTTTGAGACAGAGTCTTGCTCTGTTTCTCAGGCTGGAGTGCAATGGTATGATCTTTGCTCACTGCAACCTCTGCCTCCTGGGTTCATGTGATTCTCGTGCCTCAGCTTTCCGAGTAGCTGAGATTACAGGTGCCTGCCACCAAACCTGGCTAATTTTTGTATTTTTATTAGAGACAGGGTTTCACCACGTTGGCCAGGCTGGTATTGAACTCCTGGCCTCAAGTGATCCACCCGCCCCGGCCTCCCAAAGTGCTAGGATTACAGGCATGAGCCACCGCACCCGGTCTTTTTTTCTTTTTGCCTCAAACCTGCTCTCACATTTTTCCATGACGTGCTGGAGAGTGTTTGTGGGCAGATGACTGGTACAGGAACATTCCTACAGTGGCCTTCCTACTAAGTGGCTTGCACAGTCGGACACAAGGCCCCTGGTTGGAAACCCAGTGCCTGCTGCAAGTCCTTGAGCACTTGGAGGTTCTTTCCCACACATCAGTGGATGAAGGGAAAATGCAGGTCAGACAGACTCCTGCTTTCAAAAATACATGAATAAGTACTGCCTGTGTCTTATGGAGCAAGGATTTAGTGGCATAGAAGTGTGTTTTCTGTTATTAGGTTCTTTCTTAATAAGATTTTTCCTTCTAAATAAGGGACCTCAGAGAATATGCAAGAGGTTGAAACCTCTCTAAGCCCCTGACTTTGAGAAGTCTCTTAGGTTGTACATTCCATTTCATCTGTAAGCCTTCCTCTACTTTTTTGGAATGTCCCAGCAACCAACCATTTCTCTCAACTCTGGACAGAATAGCTGTCAGTTGAGTGACCAATTAAATTGTGCCTCAGCAGCTTGTTCTGCATAGCTGCACTCTCTCACTTTCCCAAAGGCCATTACCCAGCCTGTGCATAACAGTGTATTGTGTCTCTTCTCTCCTGATCTGCCTCTGCTGCCCAGGAGCAAATACAGACTACAGGCCACCGGACGACGCTGTGTTTGATATCATCACAGATGAAGAATTGTGCCAGATACAGGAGTCTGGCTCCTCGTTGCCTGAAACACCCACTGAAACTGATTCTCTTGACCCAAATGTGGCTGAACAGTGAGTAGAGGTCACCCCCATTTCCTGAGTGCTCATTACAGGCCTGGCCCCTGTGCTTTCTTATCAAAGGATGAGGAAAGTGAGACACTGGAAGCAGGATGGACTGTCCTTGCCTAAGGGAAGGTGCCTGAGAACAGTGCTTGCAATGGCCTTGAAGAGCATCAAGCGCTCAGAAAGTGGTCAGTGTTGAGCCTTGCAGAGAGCTCCTGGGAGATGTCAGTGGCCCCAGGTTTCAGCATCACCATTAAGGCCTGTCTTTCTTGGCTTGAGCGACTGTATTAGTTTGCTTGGGTGCTGTATAAAATACCACAGACCGGGTGGCTTAAATAACAGAAATTTACCTTCTCACAGCTCTGGAGGCTGGAATTGCAAGGTCAGGTGCTGGCAGGGCTGGTTTCCTGCAAGGTTCTTCTCCTTGGCTTGCAAATATTTGCCCCCTTGCTGCCTCTTCATGTGACTGTCCCTGTTGCATGCCCCTGGTGTGTCTCCATGTCTCTCAGTCTCCTCTTCTTATAGACACTGGTCCATTGGATTAGGGTCCACCCTAACAACATCATCTTAACTTAATCATTCCTCTACAGGCCTCATCTCCAAATGCAGTCACAGTCTGAGGTACAGGTGCTTAGGGCTTCAGCATGTGAATAATTTGGGGCATGGGGAGACAATTCAGCCTATAACAGCAACCCTTGCTGGGCCACCTTTGGCAGTTGCTCAGAGCAACATGCTGCTCTTTAAAAGCCTTGCTCTCAGGCCCTGTGCTCCTGGTCTTGCTCACCTTACCACCTACCCACCTGGCTTGCCGAGTGATGAAGGTAGAGTGTGGCTTAGTGCCAATGGAATGAAGCATGCCCTAGGGACCACAGGAGTGTAGGGGTTGGGAGAACACTGCAGGCTAATACTGTCAGGAAACGCATCAGAGCAGGGGTGTCCATTCTTTTGTCTTCCCTGGGCCACACTGGAAGAAGAATTGTCTTGGGCCACACATAAAATAAACTAACACTAACGATAGCTAATGAGCTTAAAAAAATATCGCCCTCCCCCCAGAAAAAATTTCATATCGTTTCAAGAAAGTTTATGAATTTCTGTTGGGCTACATTCAAAGTTCTGGGCGCATGCAGCCTATGGGCCATGGGTTGGCTAAGCTTGCTTCAGAGGAAGGTGTTCCAGGAAGGGAAGGCAAGGCCCAAAGTCACAGAGGAAATAGTGAGTAGGGGCTGTCTTGGGTCTTGAGTTTGGTGATTGGATTGGCTTCATCCATGAGGCTCCAGCACAGTGAGTTTAGTTCATCGTTTGGAAACGCTAACCAGATTTGGTAAGGATGCCATGAGAAATGAAGCTCAGATTTAGTTGCAATTGTCTCTGATAGATGCGTCCTCTCAGAGGTCCCTTTAGCTGCAGATAAACCCACCCAAAGTCTCAAAGTTTTAACAGTAAGAAAAATATGGACAGGCCTATTACTCTATACCCTGTGGAACCCAAGGGACTTTCCACTCACCTAGCCTGCACTTTGCCCTAGCACTGGTATTTTATGCTGCTTTTAATCAGTGACCTGGATCCACTGAACCTTCCTGACTGCTGCAAGAGTGTTGCAGCTTACACAGGCGAGCAGGCTTCCGAGGGCCAAAGCAGCCACGGCAAGGATATCCTTAAGTACTTATTCTCCCTTGGCCTTCTCATTTTTCTAGTGTAGCTATTTTTCAACAAGGTTTTCAAGGAGAGTTTTACAAGGTCAGTTTTTTAAAATATGAATTGTATAAAGTACCACCATATTAACATGTCAAGAGTTTATGACATGAGACCCATAAGAAAAGGAGGTCCTTGCTTGATGTTTCTCAGCCCCTGTTGTCCGCCTTTAGAGCAGTTTACAAAAAAGCACTGGCTGTTCAGAACCTCAAGAAAGAATTTATGTGGGTCCCAGGTCCCAGACGTTTCTTGACCCATTTTCCCTCTAGTTAAGGACATTCTATGATGCTTCTGCTTCCACATTGAGATCTGCCCAGAATTCAGAGGAAGGCTAAGACTGATCTGTCAGATTGATCATTCAGGATTTCTGCTGCATGTCTTTACTCTTCATGACGCTGCCAGTGCAAGGGACTTTGGGCTTACGTGCATCTCCACAACCCTCTGTTCCCTGACTAGAGAATGACTGAACTCACCATGTTATAGCTTCATGGATAAAGCCAGCCTGATCACCAAACTCACCAGACCCAAGATCATCTCTACTACTGTCGCTTCTGTGACTTGGGGCTTTTCCTTTCCTTGCTGGGACACCCCTCCAACCCCTGACCATGCAAGTCTGCAGCGTTCTCCCAACCCCCATGTCTCAATGGTCCCTGGGGCATGTTCCGTTCCATTAGCACTAAGCCATACTCTGCCTCCATCACCTGGAAAGCCAAGTGGGTAGATGGTAGGAGGTAAAGTGAGCAGGACCAGGAACCTGGGGGCCTGGGAGGACATTCTGGCTTGAAAGTGTCTTGCTGCCTCCTCTAGCCTGAGTGAGAAAGTGACTGTCCTACAGCTCTCTCTCTCCTCACCCCTCACCTTCCCCTGCCCAGTAGGAACAAAAACAGAAGGCATTCTGACTGCTGACAAATATGTGTGGTTTTGGTCTTGGGAAATCAGGAACTGTTCCAGGGAAAGGAAACTGCCAGTGTTCTGGTCCACGGCCACCAAGGAGGATGTGGGACTAACTGATGGGAACCTGTAATCCCTGCACTTCTGTTTGGGTGAAGACCCACCCTTCCCAGTCAGTTAAAGGCTGCATTGTCAGATACTTTTTTGTGTGCATTAGCTAGAGATAAACCCAAGCATTTCTGGAAGCTTTTTCCTACATTCTTTTTCTTCCTAAGTTTTAAGACCTAAACCGAAAACACCAAGAGTCTGAGAAAGTGTGGGAGATCTAGAGCCCTAGATTTGTGTAAGCATTCCTGGCAAGAAACTTCGGGAAAAAATAAGCAAATCCAAGGTAAGAAGGGATCCGGGAGAGATTAAACACTAAGTCCGAATTCGTGAGGAATATCTTGCCACTTGGAAGTAGTGTTGTTGAGAGTGATGCTGTTGAGCGCCTTCCTTGCACCAGCTGGTCTTACACGTGACCTCACTAGTCCCTGTGCAGCCCATCAGGGAGTGGGAATTATCTCATTTTATAGGCAAAGAAGCTGAAGCCTCAGTAGGCTGGATAACTTCTGTTGTTGGAGGTGCCAGAACTAGGCTTTGGACTCCTCCCTCCAATCCGCTGGCTTAAGATTCATTTGGAAGAGTTCAGCTCTCTTCTTTCCATCCCGTGTCCCCATTTTGCCCATCTCCCCTGCCTTCATGTTCGCTCTTTTGCACACATACACAGTTTTGGGGCTAAGGAAGTTGTTTGCCTTGCCCCTCTTCCTGGCAGAGGTGGGTCAGAAAGGGGTCCCAAAGTCCAGCCTGCCAGGGAGATGTGGCCTGATGCTGGGACCCCCTAAGCAACCTCCCAGTGGTCCCTGTGCATGGCTCAGAGCTAGAATGGTTGTGCAGAGCAGGAGCACAGCTCCTGACTTCTGGAGAAAAGATGGTATTCGTTGTAGCCCTCCAGACACACCCGTGCACACCCCCTTTTCAGTCACTCGGGCTCACCCTCCACCATCTCCCTGACCAGGTGTCCAGCAGTTCTCTGGACTGAAGCACAGAAGGAAACCAAGCTTTTGTCAGCTGGTGAACCAGGCCTGTGGGGTAAGGGCTGGCAGGGGCACTGGGCTGTGGCTCCCTCAGCATTTGCTCAGCCTCTGCCCAGTCATGGCCTCCTTGAGGCCCGGCCTCCCCCTCTAGCTACCAGATGAACAGACAGTATGGTGGTGAAGAACTCGAACTTTAGAACCAAACATGCCTGGTCTGCCACCTCCAGGCTCCATGGCTCTAGGCAGTGCAGCCCACGAACTCAGTTTCCTCCCCTCTACCGAAAAGACTCACCCTAGGGGTGTTAGGAAGATTGCATGAGAACTGTGTGTGGAGCACTGAGCCCAGTCCAGTGCCTAAAGCCTGGGAAGACTTTCATGGAGGTATGTTGCTTTCCTGATGTTGTGTCATCAGGGGCTGAGCTGTGCATGCTACCACTACCGCCTCAGTACCTTGCACTGCGCAGCCCAGGGGTCTCCTCCAAGGAAGATCCTTCAGATACCCAGATGACCCTAAGTGAGCTTAAACTCTCGCACAGAAACAATCCCTGAACCCTCAGAGCGTCTTTGCCAGTAATTGCTTCAGAACAGGCGCTTCATGGTCAGAGTGTTTAGGGGAGCTGTGGTAGATTTGTCACCCACCGGGAGATTTGACGCTTGCTATCTCAGAAACAAAATGAGAACAGGATATGGTGAATGGTTAAGGTTACAAAGCCACCTTGCACGTGGGCTTCCCCAAGATCTCTGCCTTCAGCTGAATACAGAGGTGACAGGTACCCTGTGGCTTGTCAGTGGCAGGAAACCTTCCTGGAGCCAACATTTCTGGGCAAAGAAAGGCTGTTTAGTGAAGTTGTAGTCCTAGCTCTGTTGTATGAGCTTTGGCAGGCATTAATCTGTCTGAACTAGTTTTCTCATCTGAAAATGGGGATGATAGTGCCAGGCCTCCTACAAAATGGCATTAGTTACCAGGGACCGACAGGGACTGGGCAGCTGGAAGGGGGTGCTGCTTTGAGAGCCCGTTGGAGGAGGAGGCCAGAGTGACTGCCCTGACCACTCCTGGTCCCCATCCTCTTTGTTTTGCCTCCACCCCTCCAGTAGGGGTAGCTCCAGGCTTTTCTCTTCTGTGGCACCATCTCCTCAGTCCAGAACACCCACGGAGGACACCTGGGCCCCTAGCTCTAGGTAGCCCCTAGAGTCAGTGTCATCTTGTGTTCCCCACATCTCAGATGATGTGGCCATTAGTGGCCTCTGCCATATCTCTAAAGGGGTTGGAGCCCATAAGTACTACAGCCACCCCCAGGTGTTGGGAACTTGGTAGGGAAATAGGGAAAGAGCACATCCTTTACCCTCCAACCCTGAGGCCACACCAAGGCAGTGTGTACTCAAGCAGAGCCCACACCCAGCCTGATCCCCTCCCACCAGGCCTCCAACACCATGTGCTGGTGTGGACGAGCGGAGGGGAGAGCCAAGTGGAAGGGAGAAGGGTAGGCTGAGTTTGGGAACTGGCTCTGCCCTGCACATGACCTCAGTCTCCTCTGTGGAATGGAGCCTGTACCAACAGCATCTTCTGCTTCCTGGGCTGTGGTGTGGATGGAGTGAAATCAAGACACGAAGGCCTTCTGTAATCTGCACGTGCTGTGCCAGCGTTTATTCCCCTACCCAGGGGAAGGGGTTGGAAAACTGACATCTACTCCAAAGAGTGGCAGGTAAGGGCCCAGAGGCATAGGATCAATTAGTGGCTGAGGAGGCAGGGAAGGCAAAGAAAGATTTTGCTGCTGTGCTGTTCCTGGGGCCAGGCAGGCAGGGCTTTCCTAAGCTACAAAAGGCCAGTGCAGGGACCCTGGGAGGGGGCGGGCACCTGGACAGGGAAAGTCCCACGGTCCCAGGTGGCTGCTTTTCTGTTGCTGTGGCCAGGCAGGCCCAAGCATGGTGCTCACAAGCACCCCAGGAGGGAAGGCCACCATGAGCCAATGGCATAGGTGGTGAACCAGGGCTTGGGTCAGGGGTGCTGCATCACCTGCACAGGGGTACACAGTGGTGGAGCTGTGACTGAACACTGAACACTGTCAGAGTGAGCCCAGAGCCTGCATTCTCATCACACCTTGCTGCATCTCTCCATGGGGACTCGTGGAGATGCTGCCGGGCCCCGTCTCCTGACTCTACTTCTGCCACTGTCCCTTGGGCCAGGACACTGTCAGGGAAACCAGGAACTGGTGCCCCCTCTGTCAGAAGTGTTCCATGTTAACATGAATGCACAAAGGGGGAATGACAGAAACTCTCTTTGAAAGCCACTTAAAAGATAAATGTTGCCTTGTCACCCTAAAAGGGCAGATTTTGTAGTTGAAGGAAGCACTTGGAGGTCCATGTGACCTGAGTACAGTAAAACTCTGCTTGTAGATGCGTTTAGGCATGCTTATGAAACAGTAGGAGGATCATGTGGGCTCTGAAAGGCCCAGCCTGTGCTCAGCTGTACCAGGTGCACATGGTATACCACACACCTGGAAGGCACAATATAAACCCTCCCTTGCCTCGCTAACCCACAGGGCTGACGTGGAGGGCTTCCATTTTGTGTCACCAGTTCTTGTAAGAAATAATAACTACTGCTATTTTTTGGACCTTTTCTCCCCAAATGCAAACTGTGCCAGATGTTTTACATGCAGTGTCTCAGGTATTCACACCAACCCGTAGAGGTGGTGCTGTTATGATCCGTGTTTCACCAAAAAGAAAGGAAACACGTGCTCGGAGGCTGAGTTTCGCCCAAGGTCTTACAAACTGGTGAGTGGCAGGGATTCAGCTCTGGTCTATTCAGCCCCCAAAACCACACTGTTAAGTCAGTTCTGGCCTGCCTCTCTGTGCATTCCAATTAGCTGTTGTCAGTTGGTTCTCCGTATTTGGTGAGTGATTTGGGGATACATAAGCCCAAAAAACATCTTTAAGCCTATTGAACAGACTACCAGGATTTAATAAACATGCATAAAATCTGACATTTAAAACTATGCCTCATCCTGTGACCACATTCTAGAAGTTAAACAAATGTGCCCCACACTTTAGACAGGAGGTTAGAAACCACAGTGAAAGAGCAGGGTCGTTATCACTGGTATATTCCATTTCCATGACAGAGCACAGCCCTGAAAGTTTACAATTTATTTTCCGTGCTCTGAGCCCAAAAGTAACTTTTTTGTATATTCCAAAAAAGTATATTCCAGGCACACCACATTAAAATAGAATACACCAAAGCATAAAAGTTGTTTGGAGACTTTAAAAGTTTTATTTCTTAGCTATGAAACTCATATGCTAGTAATATATAGCATATGTGTATGTGTGTGTATATACATTTACATATGTTTATATGGCAGACATTGGAAAATTTCTTTTTTAAATGAGAAAAGCCACCAAAGAAGAGTCCACTTCAGAAATGCTGCTTAGATTCATTACAGTCTTAAATGCTGTTTTGCACATTTTTCAAGCATTCCGTGGACCACTGGAATTCTCAGCCTATTCTAATTTGATTTTGCCCATTCATAGTCCCTGGTGCTAGTTATTCTGGATTAATCAAAGCAATCTGAACATCTACCTATACAAAAGTCAAGCCCCAAGGTGAAGCAGAGCCTGATCTCATTTCTGTTAGGTGCCTGGTGGTGCCAGCATTTGTTTTCACAGCTGCTCTGATCTCCACTGTTTGCCCAGTAGTCAGAAGAGCCTTCTGAGCTTGGGCACCCAGCGTGCTACCTACCACTAACAGCTTTGTTGGCTGTGCTCACCTCTTCAACCATCAGCCCCAGTCAAGGAGAACCTGAGATCATAGAAGTCACATGTCATCCCCCTTGATTTCAGCATTCTTGGAGATGGAGGAAGGAAAGTCCTTAAAAATTTTAGACCCCCTACTTGGGCTTTCGGCATGAGTGTTCAAGAAGAGAACAGTACATGTTCATGCCTGAGAAGAAGCATTCCAAACCAGTCAGAGTGTCTGATAACTTCTCCATGAGAATGCGCAAACTATAAACAAAGCCTGCCTCACCACATCAAGAGGACACAACCATGCCTTGCAAATTCCAGAGCAGCTTCTCGAAATGCTGGCAAGGCCTATAGCTGGAACATGCTGGTGGCCTCCACATTGTGGGAGGCAGAAAAAGTCTTGGAATTGTCCTCAGAAGATTTCCATTGATGTGAGACCCCAAGGTAAGGGAGACAGCCAATGTCCTTCACAAGTTTCCAGAAGTTCTTTCGAAACTTCAGGCTGACAAAGGCATAGAGCACAGGGTTAAGGCAGGCCCTCAGGTATGCGATGGCCTCTGTCACTATGATGGTGTAGTGAAAGCTGGTCATGGCATAGTACTCCCAGTGTGTGCTGCGGATGAGCTTCACGAGGTTGAAGGGTGTCTGGGTCAGCAGGAACACAGCCATCACAAGGAAGATGATCTTTAGAGATCTGTGCTTCTGGAAGCCTCCAGCATGAAGCAGTGTTTTGATTATGACTGAATAGCAGACAATCATGGCGAGCAGTGGCAAGAAGAACCCCAGTGTCATCTGAGTGGCAAGAACCACAGTGGAAATCTCCTCATCATGATAACGACATATGAGCTTGTCCAGATTAAAGACATTGCCATAGATAATTTGGGGCAAGGAAACCAGCAGGGATATCACCCAGATGAGCAAGCAGATGACCTTGCCCCAAGTCATCCTCTTGGCTTGCTGGTTGTAGGCCTTGGTGGCCTTAACCACTACAATGAAACGATCCACAGTGATGCAGGTGAGGATGAGCATGGATGTGTAGAAGTTAATAGTGTAGACGCCCAGTAAGGTCTTGCACATGACCTGGCCAAAGATCCATTCATGGATGCCTGCATAGGCCCAGAAGGGCAGAGTGCAGACAAACACCAGGTCAGCCAGGGGTAGGTTCACCAGGAACACGTCCGTCAGGCTCTGCAGCTTATGGTAGAAGATGGATATGACCAGCACCAGGGAGTTCCCCACCAGGCCACAGACAAACACCACTAGGTACATGCAGGGCAGAAAGACCTTGCTGAACTGCAGGAAGTCTTGATGCTCCTTCTGGCTGCTGTCATTGAAACTGTTGAAGAACTCATCATCTTCATAGTGATCATACTCTGCCATGGTGTCTGTTCTGATGAACACCTGTGAGTCAGAACCCAGGAATTATATTTGGGCTGAGGACGGCATTCTCTGTCTTCCTGCTGTCCCATTGACCACATTTAGGGGGCAAATAGTCATCTCCTAAACCCACCCACAAGGCTGTGTAGAAACAGCACAGTCCAGTATATTGAAGATAATCAATTCTGAGGGGAAATTGCTCAGACAGGACGAGGACTCTCCATTAGCCTGAAAATTCTCAGGATCTCACCCATGTGGGAGACAACTCATAACTGACCCCTAAGCACATTCCATAAAATCCTGTGCTCAATTATTTTGAAAGCAAAAGTCGCTTTGCTGCCAGGTGGGCACAGTGCTCTTTGGAAGAGCAACACTGATAATGGATGGTTGAGCCCGCTGATAATCTGGGTGTCAGTGGATGAGCCCACTGATAATCTGAGCTCATCAATGGGACATGCCTGTTTTCATCTCCCCCTGCCTCGCCACAGTTGCCCACCCATCCTGAGCCCCATTTCCTAATAAATTGTGAAAGCTAAAGCAAGTGTCCCTACCAGGGGGCTCTCCTATCAAGGAGACTCCTGGAGACCACAGGTGTTTGGGGATGGCAAGACTGCTCTTCCTGGGTAGGTAGTCCTTCCTGCCTTTACTTCCCCTCAATTGCATAGATTTTCAAAGGCTATTAATGGGGAAACAAGGGATAGAAAAGCCCACAGCTGCCCAACACTTTGGCTGAGCTGGCTTCATGGATAAAGCACTGGGTGGTTCTCACTTCCCAACTAAACTTTCCCCTTCATCATCTAACACAGTTTATGGCATTCCACCATCAGAGTCTCATTTCCTGAAGACTTCTGAGCAAGAAGTCTCTTAAAAGGTAGATTTCCCCAAAGCAGAACCTTGCCTTAGCTCCTGTGATTGGCAGGTTAGGACTTAGGGGCCTCATTTAACAAGCAGAAGACCCAATTGAAATGGGGTGCCAGATGGGCTATCTTTCTTACCCAGGGCACCAGCCCTTCATGATGTCACTTCTCTCTGACCCTTCCCTCTGCCCTGTGACCCTGCCAAAGACCACAGACAGGACAAGGGATCATGTAACCTATGGTGTGGGAGCAGGGGCCGCTGCAGCAACATCAGCCCATGGGTGCGAAGCCTGCCCTTGCTACTGACCTGCAGATACTCAACATGCAGCAGCTCGTTTCCAGTGACCTAGAACTATGTCTGGCCAGCACCTCAAGAAGATGTATGAAGAAGAGCAGGTGTTTGGACAGAATCTCTGCCAGCAAAGTCAAAATATTGCCTGACCAGACAAGGGCATATAAGCAATGAGGTTACCTTTCCTAATCCACTCAAAAACACTTCTGTCCCTGATGTTGAGTCCTGAATGGGAGCAGTGTCTCCAATGCTGCTGCTTGCCTCTGTCTTTCCAGGGGCCAAAGTGCCCTTTCTCTCTAGCAAGGAAGGATGCTGCCTTTGGGCTAAGACTGCTTAATAACAATCCTTGCCCTTACACCACAATTGTTAGATCTCTAAGGGTGATAGGTCAGCCAGTAGACATTCTGCCCCCAACAAGCTCTCTGGGGCACTATATTAAGTAGGTCAGATGATGCGTTTGTGTCATTGACTCACAGGGGCAAAAACATATTTTTTCGTCATTTAAAATATGAAACAGGTGACTTTGCTCTTAAGAGTAGTGTCCAGCTCCCCATTATTGCTTGACTCGCTCTTGCCTTTTTTTGGTATCCTCCTGTTCCAGCTTTTACTGGTCCCTTATGCTGCCATTACACATTTCATCAAAGGACCTGTGCAAATTCATGTGTAATAATTGGTAAACTTTGATGTATAATAATTGGTAAACAGGTTGGGCCTGGACAGTGCTGTGCAAATAGAGTATTTAAAATTACTTCTCCTTCTAGGCGAACTAAAAACATTTATCTTCTATAATCAAAATCCTATTTTGTTTTCTGAAAATTAAAAAAAAACTACAACTTTGGAAATAGTGTAAAAGTCTGATAATGATGAAGCAAATTATAACTCAAACATAAAATAGAATATGACTTAAATGTTTAGGAAGTATTTTTACTGATTTTGGAAAATGCAGTACTCTTAGTTAAATTGCTAAGAACAGTGTAAACAAAGTAAGTATGCAAAATAAGTATTAGCTATTACTATTACAACAAATAGATGTCAAAAGGATATAAAATTAATTGTGATTCATAAACTTTTTTGACCATAAACTCCTTTGAGAATCTCCTAAAAACTGCAGATCTTTTCTCAGAAATAATGTATACACACACACACACACACACACACACACAAATACCCCTGCAATTCTGGGAGTCCATGAACCCCTTGAATCCCTCTGCCATGTATTATGTGGGCCTTCATTTAAGAGTTCATGATAAACTACGTGATTTTTGACTGACCATACTTTTAGAAACTTGGAAAAAATGATCACATTTTATTAACAGTTGGCCTCCAGCTGGTGGAATTATGGGTGACTTATTTCTTCCTTTTTTAAAAATAGTTTTCAAAGTTTCTACAGTAGCATATTGATTTATATTGAAAAAATAACATAAATGATAATCTGAGAAAACAGCCTGTCTTATGCAAAAGAAATGAAAACAGATTATCCATTGAGCAAATATAGACAATAACTAGATCCTCCTTATCTCCCTGGGTGGGTCTGACTATGCCATTACTAGCAGTACGGTCAGTCTACAAGCACTAACTGTGTGCCTGGAAACATGTTCAGTAGTTTTCATGTTTCTCCAGTTTAACCCACACAGTAGCAAATGGCAGTGATGTAATTTGAACTAAGAGCCCCTGAGCTCCATAGCCTGGCATTGTGCACTGTGCCCTACTACAGACAGGAATCAGAGAATACCAACAATACCTGGGGTTAGTCCTCCCTGTCTTCTTTTCAATGTAAAGAGTAAGACAAATGACTCACCAGCAGAGGTGCTTTGCCGGTTTGTTCCACAGATGAGCTTGTCGTGAAGCAAGGTCTGCCTCTACTTTTGTGATGTGGTTCGTTTCCGCTGAACATTTTTTAAGAGCCCTCAGCTGGTTACTATAAAAGACCCACCCCCTACTCCCATCCTTCAGATCAGAATCCATATGACCAACCCGCCCCTGTGTAGTGCGTGGGTCAGAGATGGGTGGGTTACTCTGATACCCCACACCTCCTTCATTCTGCTTTGGGGCTGATTCTTCTGTCAGGGCCTGACAGGGCTTTATTCACAAACTAAAGGGGAACAATAAGGAGGTTTGGCTCTGGCCATCCACCAAAGATGGTGGCATTTGTACCTTAAAATTACTTCATTCGCTAGTCAGACATCTTTTTGGAACAGTTGGGGTCTGGGCCAATGCTAAGTCCATGGCATGGGCTGGGTTCTGTGTGCACATGCAGCTCCAGCATATGTGATAGCTGTTAAGCCCCATAGCAGCCCTGCAGTCGATATTATCCTTCCTTTATAGATGAGAACACTGAGGACCATAGCCAAAATAACAGCCCTCAGTGCACACAACTAGAAACTGGCAAATCGAAGATACACACTCAGGTCTCTGTCATTACCAGACCAATCAACAGGATGAGGATGAGTCTGCCAGAGGGCCTGGTGCAGCACTCCCTCCTAAGCCCACACCACTCAGGCACCTCAGCAAGCAGTGCCCACCCACCCTGCCTAGCCTGGCTGGAATCATCTGGTTTCCTTGGGCTACCCTCTACTCTTGGAATTCCCCAGATGTTGACTACTTTGATCTCAGTACAGTTCTAGTTGTCAGTCTCCATGATCTAACATTACTGACCCTTCTGGGAAATAACGCTGGAAGGCAGGAATTAGAGGCATGTCAGCCTGGGTCACATGCCCCAGTGCCTCCTCGTGGAGAGGGTACTAGGGAGAGGCATGTACTCCGATGTCTGCTTTCCCAGAAGCAGCTGCCCTCTTGTGGAGGTGCCTGGCCTCCCTTCTCTGGCTCTGCACTACCATTCAGGTTGCTTCTCTCCAATGCTTTTGCTCTCTCCCACCTCCTAGGCAAACCTCATGTGGCTCTTCCTAAGGGCAAATGTCAAGCTTTGGGAGCACGGACCAGGAGCAACCTCAGGATCCAGAGACTAACACTCAGTTCTACCGCAAGCCTGGCCCTATGCTGGATGCTTCTATGTACAGCCATCTAATCCTAGTCACTTACAGATAGGCAAACTGAAGACTAGAGAGATTAACCCACTTGCCCAAGAACACACATCCCCAGCAGTCACCCAGGACTGTCAGGCTGCAAAGCCAGTGCTTCCTGCCCTGCTCTGAGTATGGAGCTATGCCAGGGGGCCCGGAAAAAGATCTGAAGAGCTCTAATAGGTGTGCAGGCATTTTTTTGAATGAATTCGTTCAGACTGTCCTTTCTACCAAACTGGTACAAATGAGTGAGGTGTTCCTTATGGGCATGAACCATGAGGCCACATAGACTACACACCGATGGACAGATGGATGTAGGGAATGGTAGACAAATGAATAGAACAGACTGAGCCAAATATGCACCTGTCTTCCTGAAAGAGACCTTTCAAGGCAGGGTGGCAATTTAAAGTAACCCTGCCTGACATTTAGGAATCTTTCAGCTTTGAGAGCTGAGTTTTACCCAGGGACGAGCCAACCATGCCATTCAAGACAGGTCCACAGGGCAGTGTTAGAATGGCCTGAGCCTTGTCAAGCACCCTTGGCCGTGCTCTTCTCAGCAAGCCTTTCTACTCCATGAGGACAAACAAACCAGCATCTGGGGCCCTCCATGGCTGTGTGTACGTGTCAATATGGGGATATGTGTATTTGAGAAAGCATGGCTTGTTTATCATGGCCATTCTTTAATAGAAACTTCTCTATAGTACAAAAGACTTGCACCTATATTTGAGGGGCTGAGCCACTCGCAGGTTTGGGGATAAAATTTTATTTTAATCGCTGTACAAAGCGCCTTTTACTATCTGGCAATTTGTAGTGTTAATTGTTTTAAGGGCATTACTTTTATTTGAAACAAAACTTTAAACTTGCTAAGGGTGAGAACCCAATCATATATGTCTTAGATTTCCCCAGAAATACCTAAACCTTTTCTAAATAAAATTGAGGGAAGAGTAAAAGGGAAGTGGCAGACATACCTGCTGCAGATTTATCTTGGAAGTCAGACTGTTGGCCTGCTCTCCTTACCTGAAGACCTGGCAGAGCTGTTAAGTTATCAGTTCCAGGATCCAGGGATGAGACATTTACTGCTGTTGGCAAGGCATTGGTGAATGATGGGCTGTGATCCACAGAAAAGTAACCTAACCAGCCAGGCATGGCAGTGGGCACCTATAGTCCCAGTACTCAGGAGGCTAAGATGAAAGGATCATTTGAAGCCCAGGAGTTTGAGGCCAGCCTGGGCAACATAACCAGCAGACCTGTACCCCTGCAAGCCACTAGGATGAGCTGAGAGATCAACTGGCAGGAGCAAAGCCACTATAGTTGGGAGGAATTGTTCTGGAGGAACAGTTTTTCTATAGGCAGGAGAGCAGGAGAAGGAAACCGGATACAGGGTTTGACTACCTCCAGCAGAAGAAGGTGAGTTATAGAAGTGTCTTACCACTAGAGAATGTGTCTGAGTCACGTGGCACCAAAGTATGTTAGCAGCAGCAAATCCATACGGGTCTGCAGCAACTCGAGTCTTGCCTCCTTGGAGGAAAGAATTTGGTCAAGGGGCAGAGGTAGGTTTAAGGCAGAGGGGGAAACTGAGGCAAGTTTTAGAGCAGGAGTGAAGGTTTATTAAAAAGTTTTAGAGCAGGAACAAATGGAAGTAAAGTATACTTGGAAGAGAGCCAAGCAGGTGACCTGAGAGATCCAAGTGCCCCGTCGGGCCCTTGACTTGAGGTTTTATACATTGGCATGGTTTCCAGGGTTTGTGTTTCTTCTCCTCTGACTCTTTCCTTGGAGCAGGCTGTCTGCAGGCGTGGTGGCTTGCCAGCACTTGGGAGGGGCTGCATGCTCAGTGTGTCTACTGGAGGTGTATGCATGCTCACTTGAGGTATTTTTCCCTTATCAGTCGTTTCTAGAGGAAGGTCATATACCGGTTAAACTCTGCCATTTTGCCTCTTAATGTGCATGCTTGAGCCCACTCGCCCAACTCCTGAGATCTTAGGAAGCTGCTGATTACCCGCTACAGATGTTTTCTATCTATTGGGAGACTCTTTCTCTGGCTCTGGCTGCAACCAGTTATTTTACAGAGACAGCTTAACAATTGCCTGACCATTACTTGACAGTCACATGACATTCCTGGGGGAGGGGGGCCCTCTCCTGCCCTGCTCATGCCTGCTTAGCTACCTACTCTAACACTAGGAATTTATAAGCAATGGATTAGCAAAGTAAAATCAAGTTAATACAATAATAATAATTTGATAGCAAAACTAAAATATACCCCCAGATCGCAGAGTGAATAGGATGTGTGTGGTGTGGTTCAGCCTAACCTTCCAAACCTGCACTGTTCAGTGGAGCCTTCTGCTGTGAGAGACCTGTGTTGCACCTGCACTGCCCAACACAGTGGCCACCAGTCCAGGTGATAATTGAGCACTTGAAATGTGGCTAGTGCAACCAGGCAGCCACATTTTTAGTTTAATTTATCTGATTAATTTAAGTTTATATAGCCACATGTGGCTAGTGGCTACTGTATTGAAGAGTGCAGTTTTAAACTGAAGACATCTCCATTTCAGAGGAGACTGTTCGCAGATGGAGGCTGACCAGAGGGAGGATAGGAGCCTGTGTAATCAGGAAAAGCAACGCTTCTCACTCTGTGGGACTTAGCGAGGCTGACGGGAGATGGCGCCCCCTGGGGCAGATTGGCAGCAAGGCACCTTGGGCCATAGGGATTTTCCAGGCATCCATTCCTCCCTCGGCTAGTTTCTAAACAAGCAGACGTGTACCGCAGGCAGTCTGCAGGATTAAATTTGTGCAGTAATTACACAACAAACAGGCCGAGGCCATTTGATTCGTGACAGGGAAGGACTATAGACTCCCATTTGTAGAGACCAAGCTGGAGGGGCTCCACCATGACTCAGAGAGGTGTGGACTCCAGGACTGCAGTGCCAGGGGCTGCCTGGTTTGTGCTCACCACTTTATTTTCTGACTCGCTTCTAATGCGGAGGCTTGGTATGTCCTCCTTTGGGAGCATTTGGGACAGAAGAAAACCTTACTCTGAGGGAAATAATGTAGACATTCACTGGGCATGGGCTGTGCGCACAGCAGGCTGCCCAGGAATGCCAGGATGGCACCCACAAAGGGACAGACAAGTTGACGGACTGGAACATGTGTGCTCGAGAGATATTGATCTCAGCTGACCACTGGCTCCAGACAAAAACTCGGACGGAAAGGGTGGCATGCCATCAGCCAAGCTAGCAGTAGGCTGCCATGACCAGAGCAAGGGGAGGAGGAAGGCCGCGTGGGCAGTGAGTATCTGGTATCTTCCCTGAGACTGCCTCGATAGCAAGGAACGGAAGCAGCTCTAGTAGGAGGTGGGGTGCCCTCTAGTGGTCATGCTTTGGTTGCCGTCCTTTCTCAAGCTCTTAAATCCCTTGACATCCTCTGAGTTGTTTGAACATTTTCTACCGTATCTCACGGTAAGAAATACATTTTGCATGGCTACCTAGTGTGCATGTGTGTACACATACGATCAAAACAAGAGCCTCGAGGCTGGCCACAGTGGCTCAGGCCTGTAACCCCAGCACTTTGGAAGGCCGAGATGGGCCGATCATGTGGTCAGGAGATTGAGACCATCCTGGCCAACATGGGGAAACCCCGTCTGTACTAAAAATACAAAAATTAGCTGGGTGTGGTGATGCATGCCTGTAATCCCAGCTATTCGGGAGGCTGCGGCAGGAGAATCGCTTGAACCGGAGAGTTGGATGTTGCAGTGAGCCAAGATCGTGCCACAGCACTCCAGCCTGGCGACAGAGCAAAACTCCGTCTCAAAAACAAACAAAACCCAAGAGCCTCATAAATACTTATCCTCGCAACATGCAATATACTATTATATTTTCTATTTTATTCTATTTCTTTTAATGTTGGTCATAACCTCCTAAATTGATTCACAGCCCACTAAATGGGTCATGGCCTACAGTTTGAAAACCTATTGAAAAGAAAGCCCTCTGTCCTAATTGTTACCTTTGAGACTGCATCACCCACCTGTCCCACTCCCACCTCACTCATGCAGGGCATCCGCCGGGGCCAGCAAGGGTCTGGGAAACCTGCTCTGTGAATCATCTGCTTACAGGTAATCAGGCGTTGTCTGTCATCACTGTGGTCAGGGAGGAGGGTGATGGAGGAAGAGAAGGAATCATAGATTAGAACGTCTTTTATCCTGAATGCAGGAAAATTGGGAGAACCAAGTACAGCTTTCAGAGTCTCTCTCATTCTACTTTATTTCTTTATCTTATTTATGGTATTTGTGCCTTGGACAAGGATGAAGGCAAACAAGCAGGCCTGAGTGACCCTGGCCTGTCTCCTCTGGACTTCTGCTTTCCTGCTGTCAAGTGGGTGACTGCACGAGCTGGCTCCTTGAGCAGCTTCTTGCACTGATGTTCCCTGTTTCTGTTTGTCCCAGGGTGAGGGAGTGGGGGCCTGGAAGCCAGCGGCTGGAAAAGCAAAAAGAAGGAGATGTTAGGCAAGGAGGAAGATGGGGGTTGGGGCCAGGAAGAAAAATAAATGCCAGAGTGACAAGGCATGCCCCCGGTGGCAGCAGGTGCTGTAGCCCGCGTTCTTCCTTCACCTTCCCTGAGAAGAGCAACAGAGGCCGTGGGCAGGAAGCTGCTGACCAGAGCAAGCCCACCTCTTTCTCAACCAGTGGGCTTGCAAGATGCTACCTCTGAGTCCTTTAAAACTTACAGCCTTTTCAAGCCCTCAGAACCCAGAGTCCATCTGGTTCCATTTGCTTCCATTTAGAGAAGGAAAACTGGGGTCTCAGGAGGAAAGAGCTCACCATGAGTCACACAGTCACAACGCTGAAGCTGGAACCACAGTGGACCCCACCACAGTCATACCACATCCCCTGCCCTTAGGGCAGAGACCTCAGCTAGAGGAAGCCCCACTGCTCAGAGCTGGTGGCATTCAGCTCCTGGAAGAGCACAGATTGTTGCAGCAATTTAAAAAGAAGCCACACTGAGTGGCTGATCTTCCTCACTGATGCCTTCACATGAGGACAAAGCCATTTTTTCTTTTCTGGACCTAGGTTTCCTCTTTGGCAGAACGAGGGAGTGGAGCTGGTTGGGCTCTGAGGCACCTGAGATTGTATAAGCCCCTGGCTGAGCTGGACCTGGGGCCCCACAGGGAAAGCACTAAGTTGCAGTCAGGGTATCTAGTTCTGGCTCCAGCTCTGCCTCAGAGGAACTGCCTGGGCCTCTGTGTCCCCATCAGTGAAGTGCAGGGACTGCAATCTGCCAATATGTTCTAAGAATCCATAATTCAGAAGGTGTTAAAAACCTCCCCTGGGTGCCTGTTCTTGTGCCCCAGGGATAGGCCAGAGGCTTCTCTAGTCGTGCACTGGCACTGAGGAGGCAGGACCCAGTGGTGCTGGTACCTTGGTCCCATGGCAGTGGCTCTGCTGGCGTGGGCTAGGAGAGTGGTTGATTTGTGTTTCTGCTCACCCTTCCTATAGCAGGAGGTCTCTTCCCTACAGCTGCTCCAGGGAAACTGCTGTAGCCCTATTGTCTTCTCCTTGTCCACCTGCTTGGCCCTTGCCCCTGCAGCCCTCCCTCTACCCACAAAATCTGCCGGGGTCTCTGTCATGGCCTCTGTGATTAAAGGATCCCCCATGCATCTGGATTTGGCTGCCAAGACTCCAAGACTGCGGACCCCAGGATGTGAGGCCCTGTGTGTTGATAGCTAAATGACTGTGTTCTCGTTGGTGACATTTCAGGGACACTACATCAACCTCGCTAACGCCTGAGGACACTGAAGACATGCCCGTGGGGCAGGATGCGGAAATCTGCCTGCTGAAGTCTGGAGAACTCATGTAAGTGGCAGCTGCCGCCTGGGCCCTCTCCAGGTGTGGCGTTGGGAGGAGTAATGGCCACTCCAGTGCTGGCGCTGGGGACCACCCCGGGGGCTCTAACTTAATACCAGTGGGGCTTCGTTTATTCTTTTTTTTTCAGGTATAGCTTATATACATTAAAATTCAAGCAAGTATACAGTACTTGAATTCTCATGAATGATACAGTGTAATCACTACCACAATTAAGATATAGAACAGTTCCCTCACCCTGGGAAGCTCCCCGTGCCCTTTTATAATATTGCTCCCACACCTCATGTTCTTTTTTCAAAGTAACTTTGTTAATTTTTTTATTGTATGAGCAATACACTTTCATTGTAAAAAATTAGGAAAATAGAGATAAGTAAAACATTTTGGCATATAGCCTTCCAGTCTTTTTAATATACCTATATACATATAATTTTTGACACAAACAAATATTCTAAATCTTCTTTTGCAGTATTTTAAAACTTGCTATAGCATGAGTATTTTCCCACATCATCGAGTTCTCCAGTGTTGTATCCAGTGGCTGCATAACTGTCATTGAATAGATTCAGTCACTCATTCACAGATATTTATTCATTATCACAATGTGCCAGGTACTATTTTAGGTGCTTAGAGCATGTCAGTAAATAAAACCAACAAAGGCTCACCCCTCGCCCTTATCAAGCTTACATTCCAGCAGGGGTTGACAGATGACAAACTGTCAACATAATTAAATAAGTCAATATTGTATAAATGTTACAAGGTGGTGCTTGCTATGGAAAAAGATAAAGTAGAATAACAGGGAAGGGGAATTTGCCATTTTAAATAGAGTGACAGTAAGAAGATAAGACTTGAAGGAGGTGAACGAGTTGCCAGGCTTCTATCTACGGGTATAGCATTTCAGGCAGAGGGAACAGACAGCACAAAGGCCCTGTGACGGGATGGTGCCTGGCACGTTGAGGGGCCTAGAAAAGGGCCAGCGTGCCTGCAGCAGAGAGAACCAGGAGGTGGAGTCAGAGTGGAAATGAGGGTCCCAGCACATAGGGTCTTGTTGGCCATTGTAAGGACTTTGACTTTGAATCTGAGGGAAATGGGACCCCGAAATGAGGTGTGTAGCATTAAGAGTGACTTAATCTAATTTACATTTGAAAAAGAATTGTGCTGGTTGCCATGTGGAGAATAGATGATGGAGGACAAGAGCAAAAGTGGGGAGACCAGTTGAAAGGATATTAGAGGAATGCTTGTTCCTTGGACCAAGTGTTGGCAGAGAGGGCAGAGCCAGGGCAAATTCTGGACCTATTTTGAAGGTGGTGAAGACAGAATTTCCTGAAGGGTCAGATGTGGTCGTGAGAGAATGATCTATTCCACCAGTCCTCAGGTGATCTTGGACCACACTTGGACGAACACTATATTGAATTATGGGGCAGACCAAGCAGGAAGAATTAAATAGCTAGCCCACTCACAAGCTGTTGATGCTGGGGGAGTATGAAGTGTCAGGGCCGCCCTTTCTGGAGAGCAACTTGGCTGCAGGATGTACCAAAAGCTCAAGAATTGTATTTTCTCTTTGATGCAATGGGCCTATGTCTGGGAATTTATCCTGAGGAAATAATGACTGGATGTGCAAAGATAAAGCTACCAAAATGTCCCTTGCATGCTACTCACAGCAGTGACAATTAGAAATAGTAAAAGAGAACTTGAGTGGTCGTCAATGGCTGTTGACTTTTGCCAGATCTTTTTTCTACATCAGTTGATAAGATCATAGACTTTTTCTTCCTTAGCCTGTTGATATGATGGATTGCACTGACTGACTTTCATATATCAAACCAACCTTGCATACCTGGGATAGATCCCACTGGCTGCGGTATATAATTCTTTTTCACACCCTGCTGGATTTCACAAAATATCTAAAGGATGTTTTGCCAAATATAGAATTGACAGTTTTTTTCTTTCAGCATTTGAAATAAGTGTGCTACTGCTTCCCTCTGGCCTCCATGGTTTTAGATGAGAAATCCCCTAGCTTTCAAATTGGTATTCTCCTGTAGATAATAAGTTATTTCTCTTTGCCTGCTTTCAGGTTTTTTCTTTGTCTTTTGTTCTTAGAAGTTGAACTATGATGGGTCTTTGCATGAATTTCTTTGGGTTTTTCCTATCTGGGGTACACCCAGCTCTTGAATCTCTAGGCTTATATGTGTCACCATATTTGGGAAGTTTATAGCCATTATTTCTTTGAATAGTTTTTCAGATGTATTCTATTTTCCCTGTCCATTTGGGACTCCAGTAATACAAATGTGAGATCTTTCATCCTTGTCTTGCAGGTCCCTGAGGCTCTGTTCTTTTTCCTTGCACCCCGCCCCGCAGTCCTCTTTTCCCTGTGTTGTTCAGATTGAGGAATTTCTGTTTTTCTCTCTTCAAGTGTAACTGTCATCTTTATTCAGCTATTGAGTGTCCAGTGACTTTTTTTTATTTTGGTTATTATAATTATTTAGGTCTAAAATTTCCATTTGGTTCTTTTTTATATCTTCTGTTTCTTTGGTGTGAGTTTTCCACTTTTTTATTGTTTCAAGAACATTTAAAATTGTTATTGAAGCATTTTTTTGATGACTGCTTTAAAAGCCTTGACAGATAACTCCAGCATCTGATTGATGTCAGTGTCGGCTTCTGTTGATTGTCTTTCCTCATGCACACCGTGATTTTCCAGGCTCTTAGGATAACGAGTAGTTTTCTAGTATGTGTAGGTGGGGGGCTCAGAGACGCTAAGCTGTTGTGATTTTCCTCATATTCTGGGGGTCCTTAATCAGTCCGCCTTCCTTCTCCTGCCCTTCACTTTTACTACAACTGCTCAATCATTTTCAGGTTTTTTAGTGGCATTTAATGGGAAAGAACAAGGAAATGTTTGAAATCATTTATAATAAAACTTGTAAAAGAACCTACCCTCAAGTAAAGGGATGAGGAAAGTTATGAGATTTAGAAGTAATTAGAACACACAGATCCAAGGCATATCCTGGAGGAGAATAGGATAGTACCGAGATAGGTCGGCTGGTTGTGGGAATAAAATGCGAGGAGAATGACAACACCTTGAAAGTTATTTTTTTCTGCCTCTTTCAAAGAGAGTGACAGCAAGCTAAGGATTAGCAACCACATCGTGATAGCATCTGAAAACATGTTAAAGGTTGGGATTATCTCAGAACACTGCACATGTGTTGGTACCCTTTGACTCATGTAAACTGGAATTTCTGAGGTCACTCAGTGGAATTCACGTTTGTGACATGAGCCTTATAGACAATAGGCATCTTAAGATTATATTATATTTGAGCAAACCCTTGATTGTTTTTGTTAAGATCTCCTTTGGAGAGGCTGAGTGTTGTCCTTGTCACTGAATAGATGATGTCTAGAATAGATGATTGAGGCAGAATCCAAATACCTGGGTGCCAGGGGAGAATTCTGGAGCATAAAATTATAAAATGCTCCAGCATTAATGGGACATTATGTCAGGGTAAGTGACTTTTTACATGGTAATATGGTAAGATTTCCACATTACGAGAAAGATGTCTGTTCCAGAATGGACCCCCACACCTGCCCTCAGATTCTTGAAAATTGTAAATATTGGTTGAGGGGTCTTAATTAGAAATAGAATTTAACACATGGAGAAGTATTGCATTGAATTGAATTCTCACAAAGGTGAGTATTGGAGCTGTTCTTTAAAGCATGCTGGTTTTTTCATCATTTCTTACCTTCTCGTTAGCTTTGGGGTGTCTGTCCATTCATCTCCCCAGCTTTGGAGGCAAATGAGCCCTCAGCACCACCACTTGCCGTGCAGTGTTGGGCAAGTTACCTAACCTCTTTGAACTTAGTTCCCTCCCCTGTGTTAAAGGGGATAGTAATACATTTTCTCCACAAAAGGCAGTTTGGTATGGTAGGAAGATGATGGCTTTGCCTCAGACCTGTGTGAGCCTGGATCGAATTTCTTAATCTTTTAGAATCTTAGTTTCCTCTTTTGCAGAATGGCAAGAGTCATGCCTTCCTCATAGAGCTACTGCAGTAACATGCAAAACTGTTGAGCACAGGGCATGGCCTATGATGGTTGCCACCTTCCCATTTCACAGTTGAGAAACTGAGGCTAAAAATGAGTGAGTGATTCACCCAAGGCCACACTGCTCCTAAGTTGCAGCTCTGCACTGGAGGTCCTGCCTCCATGACCGTGAGCTAACCTAACTGCCTCCAGAGTTGCACAGTGTAGGAGGGGTGCCACTCGGCCTGGAAGGGTCCCCGAGGAGCAAGCTCCCCAGGTTTATCTTGTAATCTAGTCCTTGCAGCAGTCCTGAGGCAGGCATGGTTGTCCCTGTTTGGCAGATGAGGAAACTGAGGTTTATGAGAGGGTCAGCCCTGCAGCTGGGATGCAGTGAGGCAGGTCCCTTGGCCCCTAACCTCACATTCTTCACATAATACTCTGAGTCCAGCACAGAACCCCAAAAACAGAGGAACTCACTGTCAATGAACCCTGTAAACTTCTTGAAGAAGCTTTTCTCTACCCAGGGAGAGTAAGAACAAGCTTTTCTCCCCAAAACCATTATATTACTTGCATCACCCCTACATTATAAAGAGTATGGGATGTTGGCATTTGAGGAAAGGTCAGGGTTTCCATGTGGAATCTTACAATGGATGCCAGATGCGGCTGAAAAGATGGACTATATTGAAAGGCTGGGAGGCTTGTGCTAATTAGGTGAAAGGGTGAGGCAGGGAGTTGGAAGGAGAAATGGCAGAGAGAAAACAGACGGCTGAGCAGCAGGGCACCTTCAGGCGAGCAGTAGAAAGCTGCGCCACGGCACTCTCTTCCTGTCCACGAAGGCAGTGGAGCAGGTCAGGCCATCCTCAGTTCCTTAGTTCCCATGGGCTTTCAGCTCCACACAGGCAAATACGTCATCTGTATTTTTTACTGCTGTGTCCTTCATGCCTAGAACTATGCCAGGCATGTAGTAAGCGCTCAGGAAACATTTGTTGCAGTGAACTGCCCATCCCGTAATTAAGCATGTTGGCCAGGGTTACCCAGGGCTTATCCTCTCAAGAAGTCTCCAGCCACCTCTGAGCCACAGATGACCTGGCCAGTGGACACAAACACTTTGCCCAATCAATCAGATCCCGCTCTGTATTTTTATTTTAGGATCAAAGTACCCCTCACAGTGGATGAGATTGCCAGCTTCGGGGAGGGTAGCAGGGAGCTGTTTGTGAGGTCCAGCACCTACAGCCTGATCCCCATCACTGTGGCCGAAGCAGGCCTCACCATCAGCTGGGTCTTCTCTTCTGATCCCAAGAGCATCTCCTTCAGCGTGGTCTTCCAGGAGGCCGAGGACACACCGCTGGATCAGTGTAAGGTAAGGCTGGGCTCCCTGCCTGTGGGCTTCTTACACACACATCTGGGTACTTGGGCAGGCCTTTCCCAAAGCAGGGCAGTGGCCATCCTACCCTCTGCTGGGCAGGCTTCACCTGGAATGTTCTGGGCCATGTCATGCAGAGAAGGCAGAGCACCTGGGCCTTGTCCAGTTTGGGGAGGGAAAGACCCAGAGGTTCTGGAAAGCTGTTTTCAAATGTCTGAAGGTCACACCTGTGTCAAACAGGTACAGTCTGCCCTTGGGATAGATGGGTAGGTGAAAGAGGAATACAGACATATGACTCAATTTAAGGGTCATTTTCTAATAGAGCTATGCAAAGCAGGAATGGGTCACCTTGGGAGGTGGTGACCTGTCTTCCTCTAGTTTTTAGCTTAGGGTGCATCCCACCTGGAAGGGTGTCAGTAGAGACAACACCAATGTCACTTGGGTGGTCAAGCTTGAAATCTTGGTGGCGGGTACCAGTTTATAAATTCCTAAGGCATTCTAGGCATGGAATGTTGACAGTGCCTGGACTGTAGTTCTCAACCTTGGCTGCAAATTAGAATCTCTAGGTGTGGGATCCAGACATCTCCAAGTGATTCCAATGAGCAGCCACTGGTGTAGATTGAGAACCACTGGTGTAGATCAGGGAGTTGAAGCCAGAGTGGAAAGGATGGGGTGGAATCCAGACCACAGGGACAGAGGTTGGGCAGGGCTCCATGGGTGGCTGATTCAGTACGGGGCAAGGAGGAGGGAGACCCATGCCTGAGGTCTGAATTCGATGCCTGCATCTCTGCAGAGAAAGGGTATAGAGGGATATGGGAGGGAGAGACGGTTTGGATGGAAACACAAGTTCCATTTGAATCATTCTGAGTGGAAGAAATGGTAAAAGCAGTTGGGCCTGCTGGACTGGAGCTGAAAGTGGATCCTAGCCTGGGAATATGACTGCAGAAATCTCCATTTTGCAAGAATTGCAAGGATCAAGATAGGGAAAAGCAAGCTAAAGTCATGTGAAACAAGAATTCTGTGAAGTCTTTGCAGAAACATCTATTAGTCCCTTGTATTTGGTCCACTGGGTGCCCTCGAGGGGCTTGAGGTTGAGGGATGAGGAAGGCCCAGAGCAGGAGAGCCCAGCTAGGAGGGCCACACAGCGGTTCCTGCTCTGATGCTGGCATCCCATAGAGGAACATGTACCCATTTGGGTTTGCTCTCCTGCCACCCTGCCCTTTTGGAATCTGCTCATTGCAGGGATCGCTTTTGTCATTTCTCTGCTTTTCAGCCTCACTCTCAAAATGTAACTCTGCTTCCTTGGTTTGGCCTTGTTTATTGGAGTCTTATACTCTGTCTTATTTAAAACCGCTCTGCCCATCTTATTCTTTTGGGGTTTGTAGCCAGCTCCTCATACCTACCTCTGGAGCCCTTCCTTCTTGAGCAGTTCTGAGCCTCCGCCCAGGAAGTCCTGGCACAGCCAACATGCCTGTCAGCTCCACACTAACAAACAGCAGTACTGCCAAGAGCTGCCCTTGCCACTCACCATCACATTCCCCAGACCTACCAGGGCCCCATCCTGAATCCACCCAGACCAGACACCGTGAGTGTTTGTGGCAAGGAGGGAAGGGATGAAATCAGGGATCCAGGCCTTTGCTGTTTTGCCTGCCCACACGTGACTGGGCCGTAGGCCTCTCCCCTTGCTCAGTCCCTGCCCACCGGGTCCTCAGGAGCCTGGGGTTCCTGTGTGGCTCTACCAGGAATCAGGAACTTGGGGACCTACTGAGCCTTCCTCATCTCTAACTGCCAGGGGGCCCCATTGCCTTTCCCCACAGTGACACCAGGGGGCAGAAGGGGCCCGTGTACAGGATGCTCAGGTGCTCCTCTGCCTTCACAGGCCACTGTCACCAGCCACCGATGGGAGTGGCTGTTATCTCTGCCTGATGTCCCCCAAAGAGACCGTGGCCAGGGTAGCCTGTTTCCACACAAGTGCCCTCAATATCTATCCCAGGGACTCCCCGGGTGCTCTCCTGACCAGCCTGGGCCTTAGAGGAAATGACAGGTACAATGCAAATGGCAGCAGTCAGACCTCATGATTACGGAGGTATAGACACAAGGAGCTATGCTGTGTATTTGCAACCATTTATTGGGTGTCTGCTGTATACTGGACTGTAGGGCCCGCAGGGGATAGAGAGAGATGAAGGAAGCTCACTGCGTAGTCGGAGAGAGACTCTAATCAATAGACACTTGTGATTCCAGGTGGCTTCATGACAGGGGTGGGTGGGTACTGTGGGTACCCCTGCGAAGGGTGCCTCGCCCAGCCTGGGGAACAGAGATGAGGAAAGGAGACCCCTGGGTGATGGTGAAGGCCACAGTGGAGGAAACCAGGAGCAGCACTGTGAGGTGAGGCGAGGGGCCTGTGCGCTTGAGAAGAAGCATCCAGTAGATGGAAAAGCACAGCAGAAGGCCAGCCCCGTCTCTAGGGGTGCCTGTCAGATACTCGCCACCCTGTGCCACCCTCTCTCCAGACCCACTTCCTCCATTATAGTCATGGACTTGACACTGAGATTAGAGATTGTGAATCTAGGTGAGGCACTTGGTGAAAGAAATTATGAACCAGGTTACCAGTGTACACACCGCTGGCCTGAGGCCCAGGGACAAAGCAGAGAACTGGATCCAGACCCTGTCCTCTCTCTGGGCAGAAGATCCGTCTTTGGCCAGAGAAGCTCGATGGCCTGCTAGGGTGGGCTCCAGAGGGAGTCAGAGGAGGAATCAGCTGACAGCAAGGACACTTGACTTTGTTTTTTAGCTTTATTGAGATATAACTCACCGACTTGAAATGTACAGTTTAATGGTTTTTAGTATATTCACAGAGTTGTACCACCATTACCACGGTCTAATTTTAGATTCTTTTCATCACTCCAAAAAAGAAATTCTGTGCCCGTTAGCAGTCACTCCCCAACCTCTGCCCCCGGCAACCACGGATCTATTTTGTGAATCTGCTGATTCTAGATGTTTCATATGAATGGAATAAATGAAAAACAGCTGGAATGAATGAAAAGGCTACAGAATAAGATGTTTTAAAGAAATGAAGAGTATCATTTTCAAGAACACACATTAATCTATGTTAAACATGTCCTCTTCAGGGGACCTGCCTTAAGGAGCTCTTGATGTTGCTTGTAATCAAGGTAGTGGGTGCGAGGGTATGCAGGGTGAGCACACCAAGGTCCCCATGCACACAGCAAGCTTTCCCCTCCAGCAGCTCCTTTCCATACACCCTTGTTGCTGTGTTTGAGACCAGGCCAGAGTTGTTAGGTTGTGGATCACAGAAACAGAACCAACCCCTCACCATCCCAGGATCCTTAGTCCCTGGTGGAACTAGAATGTGATAGAATGTTAATGGAAGTAAATGAGATGTCGTGTGCAGAAGAGGCAGCACGGAGCCTACGTATAGCAGGCCCTCAGTGTACACTCTTTGTACACCTTTGTCCCCTCTAGGCTTGTCAGGGGCCGGTCGTACTCCCTCACCACCACCAGCTGCCAGCCTGAGCAAGCACACTGTTGTGTTAGGAACACAATGCTCACTCTCCCTCTGTGCCTTTTTTATTCCCCTTTTGATTTCTCTTTGATCCACATGTTTGAGTTTGTTTTTCAGTTTTCAGGTATTTTGAGATTTTCCAGAGATCTGCTCTTGATTTCTAATTTAATTCCATTATAGACCTAGAACATACTTTGTATAACTTGAATCCTTTGAAGTTTGAGAAGTGTTTTCTTAATGGCCTAGAACAAAGGTGTCCAATCGTTTGGCTTCCCTGGGCCACACTGAAAGAAGAATTGTCTTGGGCCACACATAACATATACTAACACTAACAATAGCTGATGAGCTAAAACAAAACAAAACAAAACAACAACAACAACAACTCATAATGTTTTAAGAAAGTTTACAAATTTGTGTTGGTCTGCATTCAAAGCCTTCCTGGGCCGCGGGTTAGACAAGCTTGGCCTAGAATGTGACCTACCTGGGTGAACGTTCCAAGTGCACTTGAAAAGGATGTACCTTCTGCTATTGTGGGGTGGAATGTTCTTTTTTTTTTTTTTTTTTTTGAGACAGTTTCACTCTTGTTGCCCAGGCTGGAGTGCAATGGCGCGATCTTGGCTCACTGCAACTTCTGCCTCCCAGGTTCAAGGGATTCTCCTGCCTCAGCCTCCCAAGTAGCTGGGATTGCAGGCAAGTGCCACCATGCCCAGCTAATTTTGTATTTTTATTAGAGAGAGAGTTTCGCTATGTTGGCCAGGTTGGTTTCAAACTCCTGACCTCAGGTGATCCACCTACCTTGGCCTCCCAAAGTGTTGGGATTATAGGCGTGAGCCACCGTGCCCGGCCGGGATGTTCTATTATAGATGCCAATTAGTTCAAGTTAGTTGATGGTGTTGTTCATCTTCTGTTTCTTCATTGAGTTCCTGTCTACTTATTCTATCAATTATTAAGAAAGAGACATTGAAATCTCCAACTATAATTGTGAATTTGTCCATCTGTCCTTGCAGTTCTATGACTTTTTGCATCATGTATTTTGAAGCTCTGTCATTAAGGGCATAAATGTTTAGGATTATTGTCCTTTTAATGAACTGACATATTTATCATTATGAAATTATCCCCGGTAATATTCTTTGATATAAAATCTATGTTATGTGATAGTAATACAGTCAAGCCAGCATTCTTTTGGCTAGCATGCTAGCCTGGTAATCTTGTTTACATCCATTTACTTTTAACCTATTTGTATCTTTATATTTAAATTGCATTTCTTATAGGCATGATAGGGTTGGGCAGAGTCTGGTAATCTCTGCCTTTTCATTGGAATGTTTAGGCTATTTTCACTTACTGTGATTGCTGTTAAGGTTAGGTTTGAGTCTGCCATCTTGGTATTCATTTTCTTTTACCCCATCTGTTTTTTTGGTCTCTCTTCCTTTTTTTGTGAGGGCAGTTGTTGGGCTCACCCTGTTCCTGTCTCTCAGGGATCACTATCCTGCATTGCCTGATAACCAGTGTCTTGAAAACTGTCCTTTCATATGTTTTCTATTTTTTGTTTTGTTGTTGTTTTTGTTGTTGTTGTTGTTGTTGTGTCCTGGGAGGGTAAATCTTAGATATTCTCCCGTGCCTTTAAATATGTTGTCTCCACTGCCAGGAACAGCCAGACCCCTTCTCACTGGCTAACTTGTCCTAACTCAGCATCACCTTTTCCAGGAAGTCTCCCCTGGCATTCGGCCTCCTGCCTCCCACCCAGAGGCTAGAATGGCACCCCTTGCCAGTTCTCCCCTCATGGGACTCTCACCCCAGTGTAATTGAATGTTTTCTTCTTTGTGATCGCCATTAAACCACAAGATTCCTGAGAGCAGAGCCCTTTGTGGGAATTCGCTTCATTTTGGGAACTGTGTAGAGTTTGGGAACATGTAGAGTTTTGAGAAATATGCAGCTGTGTTCAAGATTAAGTTGAGAAAGTAATCGCATCCTTATATTAACAACTATTTTGGATTCAGTCATTTTGTACAAGTTAAAAATGTTTAATAGGAAAAAATAATAACTGAATGTAATAAAAATTGTATGTCTGAAAAAGAAGCTACGTTTTATTTTGTAAAGAATAAAAATGGTCACTTCTGGGGAAGTTTACCTCATTAGGAACTCAAAGTTGCTAAGATGCTGCTTCCGTCGTCTGTAGACCTTCTGGTCCATATAACCATTTATGTGTAGTCAGTCTTAAATGGAAGGCTTAGGGACACTTTATAAGACAAGATCCTCTAGGTGCTAATCACTTCTTTAAAAAAAAAAAAAAAAAGAAAAAATTAAGGGCTGGGTGCAGTGGATCATGCCTGTAATCCCAGCACTTTAGGAGGCCAAGGCGGGCGAATCACGAGGTCAGGAGTTCGAGACCAGCCTGGCCAACATGGTAAAACACTGTCTCTACTAAAAATACAAAAATTAGCTGGGTGTGTTGGTGTACAACTGTAATCCTAGCTACTCAGGAGTCTGAGGCAGGAGAATTGCTTGAACCCAGGAGGCACAGGTTGCAGTGAGCCGAGATCGCGCCACTGCACTCCAGCCTGGGCGAGAGAGCGAGACTCCATCTCAAAAGAAAAAAAAAGAAATTTTAAATGTTGGTGGCTCTGGCCAGGCATGGTGGCTCACACCTGTAATCCCAGCACTTTGGGAGTCTGAGGCGGGCGAATCACCTGAGGTCAGGAGTTTAATACCAACCTGGCCAACATGGTGAAACTCCGTCTCTACTACAAATACAAAAATTAGCCGGGCATGGTGGTGGACACCTGTAGTCCCTACTCTCGGGAGGCTGAGGCAGGAGAATTGCTTGAACCTGGGAGGCAGAGATTGCAGTGAGCCAAGATCATGCCACTGTACTCCAGCCTGGGCAACAGAGTAAGACTCCATCTCAGAAAAAAAAAGGAAAAAAAATGTTGGCTGGCTCTGCCTTATCTCCTAGCATATTTTCAGTTTTAAAATGAGGCCTGTGTCTTAGCTGGGAAGTAGGTTGAAGAGCCTGCCCTGGTGGGGAAGAAGCGAGCCATTCAAAGACCTCCCCCGGAGCCCTGGCCCTGTCCAGCACGTACCCTTTGCACAGATTTTATCTCTGACAGTGAGGCCCTTCAAAAATCGTCTGAAAAAAATCAATATCACTGTCTCCTGGGACTCATTTCTCATTCTCAGGGAAGGCAGAAAGTGAATAGGAGGCTGAGGCGCAGGTGCAGGAAGATGAAAGGGTCCTGGGGCACAGGGACCAGCCAAAGCACAGCCAGTAGACAGGCCTAGGTGGAGCCAGGGTTGTTGAGCCTGGAGGAGAGTGAGCCCAGCAGCTTTGTGCCTGGAAGGCTGTTATCTGGAAGGAGGTCTCAGCCTGTCCTGTGAGACCCAAGGGCAGCACCAGGACCAACAGGAGACAGCTGGACAGGTGGATCCCACCTAGACTAAGCTTCTTATCCTGAAGCCAGAAAAGGGTTTCTCCTTTAGCCCGTGGAGTGTTCTAGCATCTTCTATATTCAAGGCTAGGGGATCACTCCTTAAGGGTGCTGACCAGGTCATGATTCTGGAAGAAACTCATAGCCACTAGTCATCAACAGCCTCGGGGTGTGGGATGGCACTGTGCCACTACTGGGGCTGGTCCCAGCTCCGGCCCTGCTCAGCTGTGACCTCGGGCAACACACTCAGCCTTCTCCCCCAAAATAAAGGTCTTCCCCGAGGATGCCCAGGGCCCTCTCGGCCTCTGTGATGTTTTTGCCTATCTGCTTTCCCTCCCAGGTCCTCATTCCCACGACCCGATGCAACTCCCACAAAGAGAACATCCAGGGCCAGCTCAAGGTTCGCACGCCTGGCATCTACATGCTTATCTTCGACAATACCTTCTCAAGGTAGGGCCACTTCAGGCACCAGCTCCACGTCTCCAGGCCTCTCTTCCACCTCTTCTCAAGAGCAGAGGTGGACACTCGAAACAAATTATTTGTCAGTAACTTATTATTAATCGTTCTTGATTGTTGACCACTCTGCCATGGTGTTCCAGTGTTTGTTAGAGATTTTGTGGCACACGGGCTCATGCTTACAGAATCCCTCCATGTCACTGCTGAGGGGTAGAGGAGTGACACTCTTAAGTCACACAGCCAGTAGTGGAGCCAGATCTGAAACAGGCGGTCTGGCCATTCTGAACTCTTAATAACCAGGGTGCCCTTTCCCTCTCTCTGACGTTGATTCCCACTGCCCTGCCACTGCCCTGCCCAAAGAAGGGGCTCAGGAAATACGATGGAAGGACTGAATGAATGAATGAACGAGAAAGGGAGGAATAAAAGAAGGAAGGGCGGAGCTTGAGATAAGCAGGCCCGAGACTACACCGCAAAGCCCCTGGCCGTGTGGCAGGAGCGGCAGGTGCCATCTCTGGGAAGCCCTCTGAGAACCAGCTAAGGTTCAGGAGTGTATAGTTTAGAAGATGGGAGAGAAGCTGGACAGGAGAATGGGAATAGGGAGATGAGGTCAGAGGGATAGCAGGAGGGGAGCGGAGAGAGGACCAGCATTGACTGAGCAGCAATCATGTGGACAAGGGTGGTTAGGACTGCTGGGCACCTGCCCCTGTTTATGTCTTCTGCTGCAGCACAGACCCCTTCACTGGAACCGGCTCTTTAGAGAGAACTGCCCAATCTGTTTCTGGCCACATCCTCTCTGAGCAAGGTCCTGGGCTACTGGTCACATCCCCAGCATGAGTACTTGGCTCTTAGCAGAATAACTAGACAGGACACTAGGGAAAAGCTATGTCATCCCCTCACCACCTCCAGGCCTTGAACTGCCAGGGCTTGTGGCCAAGAGTGCCCACCACAGGAGGGGTTGGAAGATGAACTTCCCACCTCGCCCCCTCCTGCCCCTCCCTACACTCCCAAGCGGAAATGAAAGCACCCCTGGAGTTAGCAGGACCCTGTCATGGCCAGAGAGCTCTCTTTGTAGCCACCCTCTACCCCAAGAGTGGACATGAGCCCCAGCCCCTCTTGAACAGGATAGGGCAGTGGTTAGGAGAATGGGTTGGGGACCACCAGGCCCAAGCTCTGCTCTTCCCCCAACGGCCCTTAGTTGAGTCTCCATTTCCTACTCTGCAATGGCAGCCACACTGTGGACTGATGGAGAGACCAAGGAGAGGTATGATGAGGGCAGAGCACCGTCCCAAGCCTGAGCAGATTCCCAGTTACCCCTGGAGGTGGCCGTGGTGCCATGATAAACTCTGGCCTTGAGGTCATCTCAGGAACCTACTTGAGATTTCCAAACTATGGATGTCAGAACTGAGTTAACTGCCAAGTCAGAAAAAATCCGTGCTGGCCTCCGCCATATGCCTCCTCCCATTGCCTGCTCCTCACCCCCCCCATACACACACTGTGCAGTCCCCACCGCCAGCTGCTTCAGAGCAGCCAGGTGAGGAAGGTGACATTCACAGCCTGTGACCAAAAGGACATTTCTATACCCAAGCCTCAGGAGAGTCCACGGTGATGTCCCGAGACCTCCTGACCCTCACAGGGAGAGAACTCCACTAGACAGACAGGAAATGGGGCACGGGGCTCCAGCACCCACACCCGACCAGGTCACTGCAGAGACCACAGAGGCCTCAGCAGCAGCTGCCACGCCTCAGACTTTCAACTCTCAGGTAACACCCTCCTTTTCCATTTCTCTTTCTTCAGGTTTGTCTCTAAAAAGGTATTTTATCACTTGACGGTTGATCGGCCTGTGATCTACGATGGAAGTGATTTCCTGTAGCTTCAGCACGTCGGTAACTTCACTTCATCCACAGGAAACACTACTCTTCCTCACCTGTCACATAAAGCATTTTTTCAAAACGTCAGCTGCTCCAAAATCATCAACTCTGCCCCTCTGGAAGAGAGGCCCCTGGGCTGCCCCTCAGAGGCAGCGTCCGGGGAGCACTTTGTGCTCAGCACTCTGCACCGGCCACTCTTAGCCCCCAAGGCTTTGAAGGGCTCAGGCAATGTTTCCATTAAGTAGAGACCCAGCTGTTCTCACACCCAAAGGGATGCTCTGCCAGACGTTTAAACACCCAGGAGACCGTCAGCCTCTCCTGGGAGCACGGTTGGCGCTAGGCCTCCTGTGGAGAGTTTCACGGGTAGGGATGATCCCAACTTCTGCCTGTGGAGAGATTTTCTGCCCTGCCCCACCAGGGTCCCGCATCTTGGAGACCTGAGCTGGGTGCCCTGGCCATGCCCTGTGGCTGTGACGCCCTCAGGTACTCCCGGGAAGAGGAGGCACACAGCCATTGCGTGAGTCAGGGTGCCAGGGAACCCTCCTGAGATCCTGACTAGCCTCCTCCAGTCATGCTCTTGTCCCTCACTGCCCCAGTAAGCTGGAGGCTGCTCCAGAACTCAGCAGTGTTGGAGGGGCCTCTAAGCTGCACTCTCTTCCTGGCCCTTTTGTCTGGGTGATTCTGTCCTCAAAGCCCTTCACTCAGCCAGGCCTCTCCACAGCTCAAAGCATTGCCCTAAGAATCAGAGGTAAAGATAATCCGAGAACAAACCCCACTGTACTGGGGGCCTGCGGTGGCTGTGTGTACACTACATCTAATGCCCAAATGCCAGCCAGTGTGGATGTCGTGACCACAGAGCAGGCTTGTGCATTGGCTTTAGAGCTACTCCTCAGCTGATGGCCCACGTTTGTTTATATAAATAAGAGCTTCTGCCCCGCCTGCAGACGTGTTTACTAATGATCACAGCCAGGATTAGAACCACTTTCAAACATTGGGGCCTTCTTAACAAAAGTCTTTGATAACTTAAAAACCAAAGTGACAGAGTAAACAGAGGCATGATGGATCCCTGGGCCCCACTCCCCTCCTGACAGGTTCCCCGACAGCCCATTTGCCAACTTCCCGCTGCTCAGCCCGCACCTGACCTCCAGGAGACATTCCCCCCTTGAGGCAGAGAGATCCTGTTGCCTGTTCCCAGACAAGAATTAGTTAATCTTCCCTGTTCTTTGTGGTCCTTTTCTTCTCCAACAACAGATAGCTCACCTTGGACAGCTCTTTGTTCCTTGTTCATGGAACCAGCTGCCCGCAGTCAGGCCCCAGGTTCTTCCCCGGGTGAACAGAACATCTGACAAAGGTCCTACTTTGGAGGGGAGAGAGCCCCAGGCAGGCTATCTGAGAATCTGAGAGCTGGGCCCAGCAATTCCTCCAGCTAGCCTTGTGACCCAAGTCCAGTCACACATTTCCCAAAGTTTCTCTTTGTCATAACCCTGGTCTGGCTGGTTTTGAGGGCTTGAGAATGGGTCAGGAACTCCAGGCGAAGTCCAACAGAGACCCCAAACCCACCACACACCAGCAGCCACAGCCTCACCACCAGCAAAGAGGACTATTGTGGGGCCACAGCTAAGGAGTCATTTCTGGAATGGACTCAGACCTTTAAACAGGAGAGTTGGGCACTTCAGTCAGTTGAAGCAAGGCATGAGGAATGGGGAATAGAACCTTTCAAAGAGGTTACCCAGAGAAAAGCTGGGCCTCTTGCATTTGGCTTTCTTGGAGCAGCCTCTTCCGGCAGAAAGCCATCAGGTACTCAATCATCTTCCCCTGGCCAAGGCTCTGACCATGTTTAATATTGGAATAGAAGTGGCCAGGCCCCCAGCGACTCTTCTTGGCCTCATGTTTGTCCTCACAGGCATGCCACATGGCCTGAGATGATTCAGAGCAAATCATGCTAACTTTGAATCCATCCAGCCTCTTGCAAAAGATAATCAGGAGTCAGCTTGTTCACTGTAAGAAAGAAACTAATGAAAGAGAACCCAGAGCAATCTAGAATCTTTGAGTGCTTAGCTTTCTGAGGATACTGCGGAGACTCTGGCCAAGCTGATGACCTTCTGAAGTGTCATTGGCACCATATGCAACAAGAACCACCATTCAGTGAGTAGCTGACAGGTTTGGGGCCCGGGACATTCCATCTGAGGTCCTTTCTGAACATGTCACTCACCACAGCAGAAGACCAGTTGCAGCTTACCCAGAACCACTCCTCCAGGAGAGCTGGGTGTCTCGTGCGCACCACCTTCAGCGCTGACTGCCATTGTTCAAAGAAAGCCTTTGCTGCATTCGGAGGACTGCCCCGTGCCCCGAGGTGACTTCCTAACTATGTGGTTTCATTAGCAAATTTATTTTTTGTGCTGGGTGGACATTTGTATTTTGTTAGGTTGCTGTTCAAGCTCAAGTTTGCTGTGCTCTCTGCAGCTACAGAACATCTTGGCATATTTAAGAGTGGCTTTTATAAATAGCTTTATTCTGATTTTAATCAGATTCCCAACTTTACTGAGAATTAAGGACTGGGGTACTTTTTAAAAAATGCAAATAACAATTGAAGAAGCACTGCTGCAGGTGGTAGCCCTGGCTAGACTGAATTACACTAGAAATCAGCCAGAAGGAAGCATCCTTGGGATCCCAGATCACTCTTTAAAAAAAAAAAAAGGGGGGGCAGGTGGGCAGCCCGTTGATGGCTCATCTCTCTGCATAACAGTCACGTCTTCATATCGATACCAGATGCCTTCTTCATCATGCCACCGAAGCCACTCACCACCTTCAAGAACATGCCAACCTCTGTCAGACGCACTTAGCCACAAACAAGGAGGCACGTTTGGCACAAAGTGTCCTCCAGGTCCAAGTGGACTCTACAGAGTGTTTGACCTCAACACACTGGACTCCAGGTGGGCTGGACCAAGAGCAGGCAAAGACACGGGAACTGAAAAACTCCACAGGGTTTGGAAAATAGAAATGAAAAGCCACATCATATAACTCAAGAATAAATAGTGTTTTGGAAATTTTAAAATTATCGTCTAAGGTGGTGAAACTATTTCAGGCCCAAAGGAAAGGAAATCCCCATTTGGGGATGAAATCACAGAGCCTGTGTTTTGTAATATGGTTGGATGTCCACTGATGAAATTTTAAAGAAGTTTCATTTTTAAAAGTGTACCTGATTTCATTTTTTAAAGTGCACATGATTCTACATGTGAGAATTCTTTAGGCCAAGCAACTGTCCTTGGCTCAGAGGTGTTGGGAATTAAAGCAGAGAGAAGCCATTCGTGATGCTGAGAACCAAGGATGGTCATGTACACAAAGACCATGGAGACGGCCATTCTTGTTTACAAAACACTTACCAAGAAAGCACTTTGTAGGGGAACCTTCGTAAGTTCTCATTTCATTACGTTTCTTCCAAGGAAACAGGAGAGACTGAATTAATAATTCTCTCTTTCCTCTTAAGCACTTTTAAAATAATAAAGTACATCCTGAAATTTTAGGAGGCATCTCTGATTTAAAAAAAAAAGAAAAGAAAAGGACAAAAAAGAAAGGCTGCTTGACATATGTTATCCAGAGACACTCTGCCTCTGGTGGCTGCAGAGCAACTCCCAAGCCTCATTTGGAAGGCTTAACATTTGGAATTGCACTTTAATTGATTAATCCTCAATTCATGTGGCCTTACGGGATGGTGGGTCTGGGACCCCAATTCATTCTTATCTGCCAAAGAATTATCTAGAAGCACATCAAACACCAGCACCCCACCTGCACAATGGGGGTGGAAAACTTTTGTATCCCTAAGCATATTATTTTATAGTGTCTGCCATGCCATGTGGAAATACTTTATTTTTTAACCTCAGGATTTAAATAAAGTAAACACTATGACATTTAGACTTTTGTCTCTCATTTTTTGGGGATATAAAGTGCATGACAAAGTTATCCAGAGCTGAGCTGGAGTTGAGCTGTGCTGCTGGGAAATAGAGCATCTTTTATGGTGGCTTTTCTGGGGGACTTTAGCCAGCAGATGTTCTGGGAAGTTTCCAAGTGGCCTGGCACCTGGCTACTTCCGGCCTGCTGTGAGGGTGGTGTTTAGACCTGCCTGAGACAGCCTGTCTTTCAGTCCATGCTGCTGTGCCCTATGGGCTTCTAGCCCTCAGCTCAAATGTCCAGATCTCCCAGGGCACCCACAGAGCATTTTGAACAAAGAACAGACTTCTGAGTTTACCAGAAAAATGGGGCTGGGGAGAAGCATCATGGATGGCCTAAAACCACGATTAGTCAATATGAGGTACAAAGCTGGGCAAGACTGCCAGGCCGAGATGGCTGGCAGAGGAAGAAGTCAGCACTCCCACTCCCGCATACCCTTCTCTGGCTGGGTCAGCAAAGAGCCTGGACAGGGGCCCAGAGGGGCGTGTCCTGGTCAGTGCTGGATGTTGGACTGAGCTCAGGCTGGGCAGCCCACCCACACTCACCTCACACCGCCACTCCACGGATGACCAGGGCTGTGTCCGCGGAGTGCTCTGCGCCTCAAAAGAACACCTCCCCGCACCGCCCTTTCACTGCCCTTCCTCCGCCAGCCCGCTCCTGCTGCCAGACTTTCGTTTAACCTCTGCTTCAATCTTTTACTCCATGGAAGAAGTCACATTTTCTGTAACTCTGGTTCTCTCCTTCATCTTTATCTTCATCTCCCTCCTCCCTTCCCTCCCCACCGCAGCATCGAGCAACATGCCAGGCAGGAAAGGACTCAGAAAACACTGAATTGACCTCCCGGGTCAGTCCCAGTGCCCTGGGTCAGCCAAAAAGTCATCAGCATTCCCATTGGCAACTAACTGTGCCAGGAATAGAGGCTCCTGAAACACTCTGGTGGCAGAGAAGGGAAAGGGTGGGCCTGCAGGAGGAGATATGGGCAATGATAGCTGGTCACTTAGTCCCACTCCCTGCACCCCCCCTTATGTCAAAGGTGCCCTCGGGCCGGGCACAGTGGCTCACGCCTGTAATCCCAACACTTCAGGAGTCCAAGGCAGGAGGATTGCTTGAGCCCGGGGTTCGAGACCACTGGGCAACACAGTGAGACCCCATCTCCACATTTTTTTTAGCCAGGTGTGGTGGTGAATGTCTATAGTCCCACTCAGTAGAGGCTGCAGTGAACCAAGATCGTGCCACTCCACGAGTGACAGAGTGAGGCCCTGTCTCAAAAAAATAAAAAGGTGCCCTCAAATCAAGTCTCTGTCTAGTAACCAGGTAGAAGTAATGGCAGATAGTTACTCCAACTGCCCCCAGTGACACGGCCAGAGAGTTTCTTTGTTAATACAACAGTCCTTCCTGAGGCTTGGGGGTCTCATGGGCTGGGGGCTAGCGCAAGAAACAGTTGAGACACACGTAGATGTGTGTGCTGTGCATCTGGGGCTAGGATCTGGGGACCTCCAGGTCAAAATCCTCCATTGCGTCTCACCCCACCCTGCTAAACTGCAGAGTAACTCAAGATGACCCAAGTCTTTGCTGGAGGATTTCCAAGCCCTCCACTTGATTCCAGGTAGTCTGGACCCAGATCAGTGTTCGCAGACTCTGTGGCACTTAGAGGTGCCCCTCCCCTCCCTGCCACAGCTGCCGGGTGAGGGCTGAGGCTGCAGAGACTCCCGGGTGATTCAGAAAGCTCCTCACAGCAAGGTCAGCCCTTTCAGTTTGAAGATGCGTGGGAAAAATCTCTTGCCACCCACACACATCTGAAGAGCAAACAGATGGTGAAACCAGTAGCCCAAGATGAGAAAACGGACTTTTTTTTGAGACAGCAGTTGAAGCTGAAGCCTCAAAAGCCAGGGGGAAAGCAATAGCGATTATGAAAGACATTCAAAGTGGGTTAGGGGTGAGAGAAAGGTCAGCCTTTTACTTTTCCCACACCGGCTGGTTTCTGAAGAAGGATGGTAACGCGAGCAGAAGGGTGATGGCCAACCTCTGGGCTTTGATGTGTGTCCCCTCCTCGCCCGCCCCCATCCTGCAAGCTCTGGGGAGGTCGGAGATTAGTGTGGTTTCCTCACGCCTCCCACCATGCTGGCACTGAGGTTATCTCAGAGTTGACAGCCCCATCTGAAGCCTGGAATGAATTAAGTCTTTTTTAGCTAAAAAATGAACAAAACCTGAGATGCCTGAGTGTCCTTACCAAAGGACACTTACTTACCAAAAGGAAGCCCTCGTTTCTAGAACAGGTCTGTCTTCAGGCCTGTGGGTCCATAGAATCATCACAGAAAATGTGATTTCAGGAGGCCTCCCCCGCCTTCTGTTCCCAAGGCCGACTCTGACTGAGCCTCGGAGGAGAGAAGGAAGCCATTTCTGGGAGGCCAAAACATCCATCTTCCAGGTCAGTGGGGCAGGTGCTGTCTTCTCCCTGGCTTGAGAGAGGAAAGCTGGTGAGGGAGAATGGTGGGGGTGGGGTGTGGGGATAAAAGATAGGAGAGCAAAGAAGTGATGAGAAAAGTGGGGCAATAGAAAAGGCCTTCCCAAAGGCTGCAGGGAGGGCTGGACCCAGGGCTGGTTAGCAGAAGCCATCTTTCTCATCGGAAGAAAGTGGCAGTGAGAAATGACAGCGTCGGTGTGGCTGAAGCTGCCCAGTGCATCTGCTGGAGGCAGCACTTTAATGTAAGCAAGCCTGGACCGTTGAGGGAACAGACACCAAAGGCAGTGACTGCCGATGTGAAAAGACAAGCCAGTTTTTTCCTCACCTCGGAGGTGACTTCAGGGCCCTGCAAGCTTTCACAAACAGGGCCCTGCATGCTTTCACAAGCAACTGGGGCAACAGCCTCAGTCCAGTCCTCCCACGAGGCTTGTGAAAGAGAGACAGGGTTCCTATGTGGAACCCAAGGTCTTGGAAGAGGCAGCTCCTCTCCACCAGCAGGGACGCCACCCAGCTGTTGGGTGGTCTCAGAAAGAGGACCACACATTCATGCCCTGAAGGTGACCAGCGGAATAAGGACAGGGAGACCAGAACTGGTCCTGGATCAGGCCCCCATCCTCTTTGGTTATGAAAGTTTCAGGTATTGAGCGATCAGGAAAAGCCCAAGACTCACCCAGGGCTCAGTTTTGCTCCAGAGTCAACTGTTCATTTATTCGGTGTCCATAAATAAAAGGAAGTTGCAGAGAGATTCTTAGAAGGTTTTCTCTTGCTTTAGTTACCTGAGGGCCTATTAAAATGCAGATCCAGCCAGGTGAGGTGGCTCACGCCTATAATCCCAGCATTTTGGGTGGTCGAGGCAGGAGGATCATTTGAGGCCAGGAGTTCGAGGCCAGCCTGCGTAACATAGGGAGACCCCCGTCTCTACCAAAAAAATTCAAATATTAGCCAGGCGCCTCTAGTCCCAGCTACTGGGGAGACTGAGGTGGGAGAATCCCTTAAGCCTGGGAGTTTGAAGCTGCAACTGTGATTGCCCCACTGCACTCTAGCCTGGGTGACACAGTGAGACCCTGTCTCAAAAAAAAAAAAAAAAAATGCAGATCCATGGGCACCACCCATTTCAATTCTGGTTCATCAGGTCTGGTCCATTCACAGGTCCTCCAGGTGAGGCTGGAGCAAGTGGTCCTGGTGAGCATTGCTGCGTCACCACTGATTTGATTAGAACTTGAAGAAAGGAGGAAATAAACTAATTGATCTGTCTCCTAATTTAAGTCTCCCAATAATCCTTGAATCTCGGAACCAGACCATCTTCCTCAAATCCATTAGCCCAAGCACTAGGGTGCAATGATGGAAATTTCATTCTTGGAGAGGAGGATGTTTCTAAATGAATCCCCTGGTATAAAACTATTCTAAGGGTAAAATGGTTTACAACCATAAATTTTTTATGGCTTATATTTTTATTCAAGGGGTCTGGTGCCAACTGGCAGATCATTTGTGAGTGGAAAAACATCCCCTTCCCTAAATCCAGAAGAGTTCCATGCATGTCCAAATTTTAAGAAATGGAGAAAGTATCCAGGGGTATGGGCTGGGGAGGTCAGGTTAAGAAGGAGTTCCTAAGCTGGTCCATACACAGAATCAAAGGTCTTTGAAAATGGGTGGGTGAAAAATGGCATCTTTACCCTAACTGCTAACTAAAATTTAAGTCTTCCTTCAATTATGAATAGAGACAACATGCCACACTAGTGTTAGCAAGACCTGTCACCTTGTCACCAGTAGAAATGGCAGATATTTTCATATTACATGACAATTTCTGCAGACTCTCAAAATATCATTTATATTTATTTCCACTCTGAAATGAAGGTTGTCATTAGATCTGATAGATTTTATGTAATGCATTAGTAAAGAGACAGATGTATTACTAGTTCCTATATCTGCTTTAATACTTGGAGAATTGTATTTCAATTTAATTGGTTTGTAATTCCTTTATTTTATTGTTTGCGTTTTAAAACATTCTGAGAAAGGGGCTATAGGCTTTGTCAGATTGTCTAAGGTGTGGATGAGGCCACAAAAAAAAAAAAAAAAAAGAAGTTAAGGATCTTTGGGTTGTGGCAGGTCCTCATGAAAAACAAGAGAAAGATCAGCTCATTGCAGCACTGGTTTGTTAATAGTAATGATAGTAGCATTGTTTAATTTGTATAATTGTATAATTTGCTAGGCTCTTGCTGTAAGTCAGCCTGCTTTTACAGATGAGGAACCAAGACCCAGGGAAGATGGTAAGTCTAAACCATTTACAGAACATGTTACTGCTACTGTGTTATGCTGAGACAGCTGTAGGAATGGTTTTCTCTAAACCATTCTCATTTTACTTGAATATAGATTATCTGATGATTTATAAAAAACTTTTCCATAAAGCAGGATTTGCTATGGCAGCCCTTGACCTTCAGACCTTTACTATGATTGTTAAAACAAAAGGCTGTATCAGTTACCTGTTGTCAGAATAAAGCTA